CTTCACAATTTTATTTAGATTTTAAGGAAAAACATCCAAACTTTAATTTACTTTTTGCATTTTTCAAGAAATGCTATAATTAATAAGTAATAATATTGTTGATAGTTGAATATATGAATAGTTTGTAGTCAGTCAAAGGAATATTTTTGTATGCTTTACCAGATGATAAATGAAATAAATTAAGACTAATAAACTTCAATATATTCCTATTGTTTTTAAGACGTTGTAAACTTGCTGAACTAACTGGCATGCCTCGATACAGGCGGTATAGGGTGGAAAAAAGCTGTTGCAAGTGCGCTAAAGTTGTATGCTTCATTGGATGCCGATGCTAACGCTAACGCCAACGCCAGCGTCCACATCCACACCCACTCGTGCTGCACGCTGCGATGGATTTCTGACATAGCCACGTTTTCTTGGCTGCGCGACGGCTCCAAGAACAATCAAATTTGCAACCAGCTGAATTTTTGTTGTTGCGCCTCGGGAATAATTCGTATTTTGGTGCTGCTCTTGCACATGTATTGGGTGGGCTTATGTGGGGGCTGCAGCACTTTCATAATCGAAACGGCAAGCTAACCAGACCCGATAGTCGAACTGAGCGACGGTCTGCCTCAAAAACCTCTTGTGGGGTGGTTTTTTTGTTGTACTTTTTCCCAACATTAAAGCCATAATGGAGCACACTTGAAATTTAAAAGGCTCCTGGAGCCCATCGATTGTCTGGCGGGCTCAGTCAGCCACACATATGCTTAACGCTTACGGCTGGGAATATGTCTTTGGCTTCGTTTCCAACTGCTTCCCCATCTCTGCCTCCATTTCCATCTCTGACTCTGGCTGTGGGCTTAGTTTTGGCTTAAACGTTCCCTTCGCTTTTGCGGGCGCGGGTGCGGGTGGTTTTTTTTCGTTTCCGTTGCTTCTTTCACTTTTTTATTTGCATATTTTAATGCAAATTGTGCAGAATTAATTTAGTGCTGTTTAGTCTGCTGTCTCTTTAGCCCCTTCCACAAACGCTTGTATCCAATTTCCAGGCCACCAACTCTCCCCCGCTCGCCGCAAAACCAAAATGTTCCACCACAATTTTGTCTGTTCGTGTTGAGTGGGCGGGTTCGTTTCATATGTAAATGTTTCGAGTTTCAACTTTTATTTCCTTCGAGTTCGTCGCTTTTCTTTATTGTTTATGCTTAAATTGTGCTTCAAGGCGCATTGAAGTGTGGCCTAGTTTTATGCCAAGGGCTGTCTGACTGTCTGTCTGCCGGTTTGTCGAGGTCGAGGGTGAAAAATATTTTATGAGCTATATTATGTAAACTGAATTTAGTTTTTGGCATTTGCTCTCTCTCCCTCTCCGTCTCCCTGTGTTACAATTTGTTGCTGAATTATTCGACAAGGCATTCAAGTGGCTAAGGAATTTGCTGGGTTATATTTTTGGAGTTAATTTTTTATTTGTATTTTTATACCCTACTCCAAGTGAAGTGCGTGATAGGAGCTAGGGAATGTGCTTTGCGAATTCAGATTTTGTTTAGTTAACATAGAGATATACGCATGACTTTTATACCATAACACTTTCATAGCTAAGTTGTAAAATACAAGGATCCTCTTGCATACAGGGTAACTCATAGTCAATCGCAAGTTCATCTGCAAGTTCATCTTACGCTGAGGAAATATTACACTTTATGGCCAAGTTATTTGCCCAATCAACATAAATAGAGTTCACTCAATTTGTGAGTTAAAAACTTGCACGCATTACAATGTTGCACACTCAATTATTTGCTAAAATTTTTAACAGCTCGAAGACTTTGTAAAAGTGCTTAACACTCTTGTATTTGGCATATTAACTAGAGTCAGCAAATTGTTTGCATTGTCATGAATTTGCCGGGCTGAGCTCAGAGAAATATTAGAGAAAATTGCATAAAAAATTTCACTCACGTACAAAGGAAATGAAATGGAATGAATTTCTGAGCCGTCCTTCAGTTTGTTCTCCTGGTTATCTTTTCTTTTTCATTTTCCAGCAGTAGCAGCAGCAGCAGCAGCAGCAGCAGCAGCAGTAGCAGCTGCAACTCGTGAGAGTCCGCGAAATTTATGCTGATCATTCATAATGTCAGACGCGAGTGAAGAGGACCCTAAAGCACCCGACACCCAACCACGAATACTACATAAACGTGTCGTCCTTAGGAATGGGGAGGTCAGGCCTAGGTTCAGTGAAAATAAATGGGCATAAAGTGGGTCAGATCATAGCATCGCTGATAGGTTCTTTTTACATTCACTTTAAGGCAGCAAATCGCTTGGGCCGTGCAATAAAAAAGTATCTTTTCTATTGCATGGTATTTAAGTTGAAATTGTCTTTCAATTTTATTTGAACAAATAAGCTGGAACATTGTATAAGATAAGACTTAACTATAATGACTATCAATTATTAAATATACTTCAAATGTGATTCAATCCAAACCATATATTTAAAAAGCCTTAAAGTAGTAAATGTAGGCTTGTAAATAGGCAATAATAAAGTGAATACAATGTTAATATGCCCTGGAAAAGTGTATATTTGTTTATATGCATGTTAAACGAGCATCGATATGGATGCAAGGGCGGAGGGAGGAGGTAAATGAATGAATCAATGAAAGAAAGAAATCAGCAAAGCAACACAAAAGTCGCGCACAATAAGAAACGAAAATCAATTTCCGCTTTCAAAATAATTCCAAAGCCATACAAAGCTGCAAGAACCAAGGGCCAAGATGAGACTCAACTGAGCTCAGAGCCGCTCAGCTGAACAGAGAAAGACAAAGCGAAATAGAGAGTAAAGAAGCTAGAAGATGGAGTATAGAACGGAGTGGGACAGTGTGGAAATTGAGGTAAAGCTGGAGAGGAGGTGTGCGGGGGGTAAGGAAAAGCTGCCATTATCCTGTGCGCCAACGGGAGATAAGATATTTGCACAAGAATGGCATTCAGTTGATAAAATCCGATTTGAAAATGAGCGAATGCCTGGCAATGAGCAAGGCACGCGGCAAGGACTTCCCTCTACGAAGAATCGGTGGCAAAAGCTGTAGCAAAACAAAGTGAACGGACGGCGAGACGGGGGCGCTATGTGGGTGGTGGTGTTGTATTAAAGAAGTCTGTCGAGGATAACAATTTTATAAATAAATATTTGTGCGCCCAGCCAAAGTTGCCCTCGCTCCTTTGCGTTTCGCTTTTGAACTCAACTATCTGGCGATAAATCATTTGAAGTTGTCGTTCCCAGCAATTGGCCCGGTGACAATCTTTTTGCCACCACTCCTCTTCCCCCTTGTAGGGAAAAAAAATGGCAGAAAGAAACAAAAACAAACTCAAGGACACAATCGGCTGACGCTGTTGCCACGCTTTACGCACTTTCGCCCGTAAATCTGAAGCGCAAAACGGAAGCGTGTCTCCGTCTGATAGTCGAATGACTTCCGCTCCTGTCGTTTAATGCTTTTTAATGAGTTGCCTCGCCAGCCTGTAAAATGTGCGGCGGCAACAACATGCGAACTTAATCGATTTCATTGATGACAGCTTTACGCATGTGTTCCCAAAATTCCAACACCCCCATCGACACAACCCGACGCAGTGTGCTGCCTACTTTTTGGGGCATCGCATCTTTAGTTGCTTTAAGTTGAAGTTGCCTTCACTTAAGTTTTATTTGTACTGTAATTCATGTCTGTGTGTTGTGCATAGTTACTTATACTCAAAACAACAAAAAATTAAGAGAAAGTCTGTAGAGAATCTGACAATATGTACACGCGATGTAATATATATATATTTTTTAAATATTAAATTGAATAAAAACTAAATACTTATTCATATTAAAAGTAGTAATTTTACTAGGAGCACTGAGGTTCTTCCATAAGGCAGCTATTTGCCCATTTGTTTGTGTGGAACAAAAACAGAGAAAAACATCGAAATTGATTTCTGGAACACCCACATATGTAGTTTTAATGTGGCTCAGCCGATTGATGACTTTTTGCCTTTACCTTTCCCATTCCTTGATTTCGTGCACTTTTTTTTATTTTGGCTGATGTTCTTTTCTGAGCTTGGAGCATTGTGTCCAAATCGCTTTTAGACGACAGTTTAGAATTCGATTGGAGCACCATTTGGGAGCCTGATTACTTATGCCGGTCAGGTAAATCTTGTAAAAATTGAACACTCGCACCCAACCACTCAGCTCGTTCGCTTTCCTTTAGTTTCATTTTTTTTTTGTTGATTGACTCGATTTGTTGTTGGTGGCGTTTTAAAGTGCTTGGTACAACTTTAATTTGTTTTTTTCTTTTTTTTTTTGGTCGTCCATTGCTTAGATTTGAATGTCTTTGGGCCATATGTTTTGGGCAGTTGTTTTTTGGTCAGTTTTGGGTCTGGTAAAGGCAAAGAGGGTGAGTCCTTGGGGAGCCCGCTGGCATTTTTGGCTTTCTTTCGTGCCGCGCATTGATAAATGAGCCGCTACAAAGGTCGTTGCCAGGGTCGCGGACACTGGCTGACTTCCATTTTTATTATTTGTTTATGCGTCGTCTGGCTGTCCGTCGCTTTGCTCTATTGAAAAGTGCCCGCCCCCCTCCTCCAGCCATACACACACACACACACACACACGCACGCACACCAAGTATCGCTCCCCTGTCTCGCGTTTTGACTCTGCCCCGAAGATAAACAAGTAGCCGCAAATGGCGGGGCGAAAGTCGATGGTGAGTTGCTAACAAATTGTGGGCAATATTTTTGTTTCATCAACAGTGTCCTTCTTGTCGTCGTTGTCGTTGTCGCTGTTGCCCGTTCCTTGGGGCCATTGGCAACTTTATTGCATTATTGAAAAACTTATCCAAATATTTTGAATGTGCAGAAAAGCTTTTTACTCTTATTCAATTCGCAGCATCTCTCTCTCTCTCTCTCTCACTACTGCACTAAATTTAATTTTATCAAAATATTCTTTATATGAATGTATATATAAGTTCTTTTATATATACGTAGGTATATAAATACAATTATGTCTGGTCTTAAGAATTTTGGCATACCTTAGCTTGTGGATGTTGAGGCTACAGTTGTTGCAGCTTTGCTTTGCCTGTTGTCCAGTTTTCAGTTTCATCAAGTTTGTTGGCATATTTATACATGATTTTATTAATGCATTTTCCATTAGTTTGCCAGAGTTGTGCGAAATGGATGAATTTTCATGGCTCGCACTCCAAGCTACTATAATAAATATTAATTTTTGTTATGTCGGTTGCACTTCACTCCGTAGCAAACAATTTTAATCAAGCAAATTCTTTTGAGGTTTAATTAAATTGCATTTATATTTTTTGATGGTTATTTTTCATATGCATTTTGTATATTTTCCATAAATGTGAGAGCTGAAAAGAGAAATGAAATATTTTGAATATTATATTACATTGTGCGGTATTTCATTATTAAGGCACAAAGAAGTAACTGATATTATTTGTAATATTACTGTAACAGCGAAATGCAGCTTGAGGGTTTTCAATTATAAGAGTATATTTGTTTTATGCAATGTCCGTCATGCTGTCCAATACTTAAGACTTAAGAGACTGGAAACTTGGGATAAATATTTGTTTGTGCCCCAGTTCCAATTAAAATTGGGTGAAAATAGGAAACTGATAAAATCGATAATTCCTAATCGAAAATATCACATGTCTGCTACAATTCTGAAGTTGCATTCACCAAATTTGGTTGGCGATCTGTTGGAGATGTTCTTCAAAGACCTGCATCGTTACCAAACTTTGAAGGTATATTATTATGAAACTTTTCAAAGATTGGTAAACATAATTTCTTGGCAATGCCCACCCTATTTTTGGCCACATCTCAGCAACATCACAAAACATCAGTATCAGAATATTTCGCAGTCGGATATGACCGATGGCAAAGTTCTTTCTTGTTTTTAAACGTAATATGAGCTCCAATTTGGTATTTAATTATCGCTTCTTTGTAAGAGAATATTATGCTTCGAATTTATAACAGGTTCACAGAAGCACTTTAATGGTTGCGTAATAATCTTCAACTGAGCTGATTTCAATCAACGTTGCAATCGTGCTTAAGCATCAACCAACGAACGCCAATTTGCGTATACATTATACCACAATTGTAATCCTTTGATTCAAATGTGTTAATCAAAGTGCAATTTTACACATTTGGCTGACACTTGTAGTTGATACGATGCCAGGCACGCAAATCCAATTCAGTTCCAGCAAATGGCAGCAGTTATTTGGGTTTTGCGCATCACATGCGGCGTATGCGCAATTTATGCGCAACATAAATGTATTATTAATATATATCGCATATGGGCACAATAACAACATTATTATTTTTATGCAGTATGCAAATCAAATGGAAACGTGGCTAATTTTCAATGTCTCTAAAACGAAATCAATGGCAGCTGTCAACGCGCAACACCCACTGATAAAATAATAAATAATGGAAAAATGCGCATAGAAATTGCTGGGTTGATTTTTCTGTATTACGAGAAAGCAGTCGCAGTGGCTGTGGCAGGGGGGAGATAAATGTGCGTGACACGCGCTCAACTCTTGGGCTTTTGTTCACACAAATTTGTTTGAGACTGGGTGTGTGTGTGGGTGGGTGTGTCATACGTAAATATAAGTCGATTTTAAAATGTGTGCGTTGGGGTCTCGTGTATTATTGAAAACGACATTTATGTGCCACCACAGGCCACATGCGCATTTTCACATAATAAACACAAAACAAAGGCTGAGCAACACAGCACACATACGCCACACACAGATACATATATTCAGATACAGATACGCACAGATACATATACATATATTCAGATACAGATACAACCACAAATGCGCTACCATTTGGCCTAGGATGTGTCAGGCGCACGCATTTTGGCGGTTGACATTCTGACAAAAGCAGCAACAAGACTACAGCTCACAACAGACAGCCAATTGATGCAGATACACGCACACACACACACACACACACCCACAGATACACATTATGTTTAAATATGTACGTATTGCTTTGCCGACTAAATGAAGCAAAAGCCTTTCACTAATTAGGCGCAATTTCAATTAGGTGCATAGAAAATTAAACAAATATTAAGCGGAAAATTAAATATTATATATATATATATATATATATATATACTTTTTGTACACATACATACAGTATAGTCTATATGAGTGACAATGCAATTAAATATATTCAAACAATAATCGACAAACAATTTATTCATTGAATCAAACAAGTAGTAGTGACAGGCTCGACTACAAGATACTAGAAAAATGAGCATTTTTTCTTAGATACTCTATATTGTATGTACAAGTAAATCAACATATATATCCCAATTTAATGGGTCTTAAATACTTTATATTCTCTATTTTATATTCTGAATACGCTGATGATCAATAAAAATCTCCTAAATTATATTTACTCCAAATATTTCTAGTTACAGGGTATCCTGCAGTGCATTGCTCTGTGTAATTCGAGTTTCAACTACCCACAAAATAATTACCTCGCAATAATTCATCCAAATGAGAGAGTGGCAAGCAGCAGCAAGCAACACGCTAGTGGAATGGGAAACAAATTAGAATTTTGGTCTAATTGGAAATTTGATGAAGAATAACAACAATATTTTTCACTTTTTTGTTGTTTGTTATTCATTGTTGTTGTTGTTTTTATTGTTTCGCGTTGGTCTTTTGTAGTGAGAGCAATGCGTAAATTGAGCTTTTCTCCACGTATTAAGTTTCATCAATACGTACCAATTATTTTCATTTTTGGCATCATTATTTCGCAAAATGAAATATGCCTCGAAGTGTACTAAATACAAACAGAATTCAATGCAGCTTTCCTGTCAAACAAAATTTCACAATATGAACTGAATTTTTGTGTGCAGAAACTGAAGCAGCAATTAGAAGAAATCAAACTTCATAAAACAAGACATGCAATACAAATAAAAAAAGGGAAAGAAGGAGAAACTAAAGTCAATTAATATATTTTCTTAAAATTGATTTCCACTTGGGAAATGTTTTAAATTTTCCACTTTCATAACTTTAACATATTGTAGCTTGCTTCAAATTAAATTAAATAGTATTTGTGAATTATTATTATAATCTATGGCAGTTAGCAAAATTTGCCTTAAAATTCGACACACTGTTAAACTGGCAATGGATTTTTATAGTTGATTCGAGCAATAAGCAATTAAATTAAAATGACTCTCACTCTGACTCTTTCTCTGTCTCTTTGTTTATCTGTATCTGTGTCTGTATCTGCATCTGTGTTTGTTTGTCTGCCTCATCGTTCTCTAGCGCCATTTTGAGCTCAAAAAGTTAAATCGCATTTCCGCCCGCGCTTGTTCGGCGGTCCGCCTGATGTGTGGCGCATTATTAACGCACATAAAACTCGCATATAAAGTGATTTAAATTTATTAAATATAAAAACCACGATGCAGCAAAGATGCGCGCATAACAATTGTAATAAAATTTAACGTGCATCGATAAAAATATAAAATCCAATAAATGCAACAACAAAGCAACAACTGCGATCTCTGCCACACACACACACACACACACATACACTCACACATACACAGACTGGCTGAAAAGAGAACTTCATTACTTATTTGAATGGAAAAAAACAAAAACACCAAAATGATGGCGAAAAAAAAAAACACACTCACAATGGAACCCATGAATGGCAGCTGCGTCGGCGGCTTTATTCATGCCACACAAATAAAGCGAATGAGTCGAGCCGAGTTGAGTTGAATCGCGAGTTGAGTTGAGTTGAGGCATCAACAATGGCGCGCCGTTAAATGTTTTATATTTAAGAGCTCGCCAAACAACAACGTTGAGCTTCAATGGGGAAACGCTGCTCAAATTACCATTTTCTATAAAGACAGCCATTGCCACACATCTCACTCTCGGAATCCCCTCTTTATAATTATAATTTTCAATTTAAGAAACTTTTTCATATTGCAAAAATGCCACATAATAACATTTCCTCTCGCTTTATCGCAATCAGATGCAGAAATTGACTTTCCATCTCCCATCGTTTTGCATAGTTGCGTTGATAAATTGCATTTTAATTGCTGAACAATTAAAAAAGAGTTCGTGTGTGCAATTGCGTGTGCAGAAGTATGCTTGTTGTGATTTTTTATACTACCATAAGAAATCCGAATTGATAAGTATATAGTATAATATTTTTTCAATAGTGTGAGATTATTGACAAGCTGGAGCTTAATCTGCACTCATCTTAAGCTTAGTTCTGAGTTATACTAAAGATAAGATTTGATTTATTATTTATTATTAAGCATTTCAATTAAGATGTGCTCCTAGCTTAATTTTAAATTGTGTAGCTTATAAATATGTTAAAAGTATAGCTTACCTATGATATTGGCGACTTGCAACATTTATGTAAATTTTAATCTATTCATAGCTTATTGTTTTCACTTTGTCTCTATCATCTTATAGCTATTTTCTTATCTTAGTTATTTCAATACTCATCACACTCTGATCTATCATATTTCTAGCATAAATTTTCCCAAGCTGATCAAATTTTTATTTAAGAGCGTAAATTTCATATTTATATCAAATTTTATGAACACTACAATTAAATGCATTTATCATATTTTCAAATGCCTTTAGAACGATGAAATAGCGTTGTAGCAAATTGCATTACTCTCTCTTAGGGTCTGTTGTCACCGCACTTGAGGAGTGGGCCTCAACGAGGACATCAAATAAAGTTGTGCAGTTTTTGTGCACTTGGATGCAAACACATCGACACAGCACACATAACAGCACAATTTTCACTTGCACACACTCTGAGAGAGTGTGGCAGGCAAGAGACCACTCCAAGGACTTCCGCGCCAGACAACCAGAGTTGAGCAAACTTGAACTTTTGTGGTTCGGCCAGCTGCTCTGTCTCTGTGTGTGTGTGTGTGTGTGTGTGTGTGTGTGTGTGTGTGAGCGACTGTTGCACAGTCTCCCACAGCTGTATGCGTCCCAGCATATTTACATTACACATCAAAGCGCTGCGCCCACAACATTTTTGGCAAGTGCGCGGCATTGCTCGGGCTCTAATTACATGTGTGGGCGTCTGGTGTAAAACTCAAAGCTTGCCGAAAACTAGAAAACTCGACTTGAGCCTGCCTTGCTCTGTACGGTCTTAGCATTTTGGTAAAAACTTAGTTTTCCAACAAATGAAACTGTGCCCAAGTATTCTGCATCTATTCTACCCATTTTCTCTCCTCTGCTGCTGGAAGTCAGCTGGTATATATATTTTATTTATAATTCTCACAGATATTTCTGAGTAGTGTTGAGTTGAGCATGCTGCTACTGCTGCTGCTCTTGCTGCTGATAATTTCAGTTGGCTAGGCAAATTTTCAGTTAACTGTTTAGTGAACAACAAGTGCAACAACAACAATTTGCTAGCAATGAATGCATCCGGAATAGTTTTGCCTGTCTCATAGTTGCAACGTTTTGTTGCGACTGTTTCGGCTTTCTTGTGCTCAACTTTAAATAGCGAATGAAGGCAAATCATTTATCAATGTCAGAGAATTTGCTGCATGCACGAGAAGTTCTATCCTCATGTTGCACTGGCTGTACGTGGGTGTCTGCTGCGCTCAACAGCCTAAACTCTGATGCTTGTGCGTGTTTGTGTGTGGATGTACCGAAAAACTTGTGACATTGTTTCTCAAGTGATTCCCGAAATTATGCACACGCATAAATGCGCTCGTTCGCTTCAAGCCTGAAAACTTTGCCAACACTTTTATCAATATATAACTCAAAGAAAAAAGAAAACAACTGCAACTAGAAAAAGAGAGAGCATATCGATTGTAGTTTGTGGATCTGTTCACAGCTAGTTGTTTCTTATAATTTTTAACTCTCATTTGCTTTTGTTTGCTATACGAGCAAAACTTTAGCACTTAACTGCAGCTCTGTGTGGCAGTGGCTGGTAGCGCTTTTTAAGTGGCGTCTCAAAGCGGCATTCTTCGTTCTTTTTAAGCGGTCGAGCGTCGGTTCTAATTCTCTGGCCGGCACTTGTTTGTTGCACTCGAAACTCGTAAATAATGAATGAGGCAAAAGCGCAACCGCACCATTCATAATGGAAAAAGTTGTGCGCCATCGTCCACTCCAAAAACTATTCCACTTGCCACAAGCCCACCCTATCGCTCTCTCGCTCTGTGGCAGTTGCAACAGCAGCTTGGGCAGCCGCTGGCATTATTGTCATGTGTACAGTAAAAATAACAAATAACAAACATTGCTGCTGGAGCCACTACATGTCATAAAGGCGCATTGACGGCTGTGGCCTTGATGCGGTTGCATGCCCCATAACAGCAACCCACCCACTGACCAGTGGCCAGTCGAGAGCCAAGGTTAAAGCTGCCCATATTAATGTTGTATCCGCTGTTGTTTATCTTTCAAGTTGCACGCTGGATTTAAAGCTTTTCATTTCAATAGCCATTTGTTGAGAGTTATTTTGAAAAGGAAATTGAAATTTTGTGTTTGGTTTATCATTGCGATAAATAATAACAGAGCTTAGCAGCTCGAAATTCAACCAGAGTTTGTGAAATATGTTTATGCAATTCTTATTCATATTTTTTAGCATAAAATATTTATTGTAAGCAATAGAGCGTTGAGGGTAAATAAAATAAAAATGATTGAAAATAATAATAAAACCAAAAATTGTTGATAACGTTTTACTATAATTTATATTTATTTTTATTTTTTGTTGTTTTTGTTTTCAATTTCGTATGCAAGGCAAAGCAAATAAAAGAGTAATTCGAAAATGAAATATATTTAATAACAAATGTTAAGGATAGCAAAGGAAATCTATCGTGAATTTAAAAAAGGTTTTCTACGTGAATATAGAATTTTAATTTATTAATTTTTAATTAAATTCAGTGAAATTTATTTATAATTCAAGTAATTCTTAACTTAAACTTACCGCATTCAGTTTAAAGGGTCCGAAAATAAGCGCGTACTTTTTGGAATTAACGTGAAGAGAATAACTTAATTAAAATTGAACCCAAAAAGAGAATAAAATACAACAAAGCAAAAAATAACATAGAGAGAGGGAGAGTATAGAAAGCAAAACAAAACAAAACCGGATAATGGTTTCCTAAAGTCTCTGATTCGAGCGGAAATTGAAATTTACACACATGCCGCCGTCCAACAGATGTCGCCACATTTCCCTGTATGCGTACGTGCGTTTGTGTGTGTGTGTTCCGACAATATTGTGCAGTAATTATTGTTGTATTTTGACTTTAGTTTGAATCTGTTGCGAATTTAAATGCATTTAATTGATGTGCCTGCATGTGCACACCATATTTACATTGGAGGCTTTCAGCACGACATTAAAGCAGTCAGTGGGTGGTGGTGGTGGTGGGTGAGTGGTGGCACACACACATACACACACACACACGTGCACTAAACTCGTATTTGTCGAAAATCTCAGTTTGCCGGCCTGCATGAGACACGAAACCGACCTCGTCCACCATGCGATTCAAATGTAGCAAACAGACTGAGTAAGCCTCAGCAGCAACAAGAGCAGCGCAGGCGGCAGTGGTGGCAGCAGCGACGCATTGCCGACGAGAGCATCAATTGACAATTGTAGTTCAAGCGACAGCTGGCAGCGAGTAGCCGACGCTCATCGGCCAATGAGCCGAGAGCGTGCTCTCTCTCTCACTCTCTCTCTCACCCACACTCGCTGGTAGCGTAACATTGCAACATTTGCGCACGCGCCTGCTCTCACCCACTGTTATTGTGGTGAATATGCAAAGGGCTCTGTTAAAGGAGCAACAGTTTGGCATTGTTTTGACTCTTAACCGATTTTGTTTTGCTCCTGCTGTGAAAGTGGGGAATGGTTCAATCAACTTCAATTTAAATTTACAATTTTGTATATATAAACTATATAGGTTAAAGAGGTATTTAGGAATTGTATGCTATGTAAGTTAAGTGCAAATTAATTGCTAGCTTGGAGAGCATTTTTTTTAGCATCGATGTTAACTCTTATCCGCTGTTATGTTAGTGCTCACACTTACTGTTAAATCGTACCCCTTCTTGCTATAATTCTGTTAATTGACTGTGCTCGTGCACTGTTATTACATCTAAAACGAAGCTCTGATGTTACTTAAAATATTTTAGGTTCATTTAAAATATGAAAGTGCTTGAGGCAAAATATATTTGAATAATAAATAAATAAAAATATAAGAATCCGTATAAAATATTTAAGTGAATTAAAATAGGCCATATATCTGGACTGAGGCGGGGAGTATTTGAATAGTAAACAAAAAGATTCTAAGTCTATTTAAAATAGATAAGTGAGAAAATTAAAATAGGCCACGTATCCAGATTTATATATAGATAAATATATATACATTAGAGATTTACGTTCCAGTTGTAATAAGTATTTGAACTGGAATATATAACTGTAGATTGCAATACAAATTCATATTTTACGATAAAAACTTTAAATAGTCAACGTAGAATATTTAACTTAACAACTTTTGATCTTATAGAGAACTTATCCTTAAATTTATTTAGCTTAGTGTTATTCTATGCAAATTTCTGCTTTATTTTCTCTGTCAATGCCCCGTTAAAATTACTTCTCATTTTTACTCTCAGCACATCTGCAAATAAGGCAGTAATTTGCAATATGAAAGGGCAGCTAAATTGGCTTCAATTGGATTAATTGAGTTTTGTTTGGTACTTGTTAAAAAAAACAACCTCATTATTCTACAGTTTAACTTAATGTTGTGTGGGAAATCCACACAATATTTTGAACTACTTTCAAGTCATAATAAGTTGGAATTTAGAGTAGAAGTTGACACCTGCAGTGTGGGTCACAAAATATTGTTCACCTGCTCATGTCGAGAATCGTGATTACTATTATCACATTTGTGATGCTCTCAGCTGAGTGACTTTCGAGTAATCATAATGCAACAGATTGCTGAGTACGCAAGCTTCATTCTTATCCGGCTAACACACTTTCAGCTCTTATGGAGTTCAACAAATTATTGTGAATGGGATTTCATTCCTTCTTTTTTCTACGGTTCACCCTTTTTTTTTATTTTCTTGTTGTTTTGTTTTTGGGGTTGATTTGTATGCAGTGCTAAAAGCTTGAAAAATGTTTTACCCGCACGTGTTTCCTGCGCTTTTATGGAATACATACACACACACAGAGACATACACACATACACCATACACACTCTAATATATAAAATAGAATGCGAAGAAAAATGCACAACAATGAAATGCCAGTTGGGTTTTCGCTGCCAGCGACAGTCGCATTACTATTTTCAAGGGTTTTGTATGGTGATGCGGGCCACAAAGGGGGGGCTATGTGGTTCAATTCACCCTACAGTGACAGTTTCTTGGTTTCTTTTTTTGTTGCTGGGAGTTAAGAAACAATACAAAAAGTGTTGCAATTTTTTATTTGGTATATGGCAGATTATGTTGGGCACTCTCGGGCACACATTACGATCTCTAATGTATGACTGGGGAAACTGAGTGCTGGGCACTGTTCTGAATGATTTTTATTTGAGTATTCGAATTCGCATTCGTATTCGTATTCGTATTCGTATTCCTATTCGTTTAGTCAGTGTGCGCGTGCAATTTTGCCGGGGCTGCATTTTCTACAAATTGAATCCAGCGAGAATGCGCGGAGACAAACATCTAAATTGTCAACGTAATGCGACAAAATATTGAAGTCAGCAGGTAGTAGAAATAGAAATAGAAATCGAAACAGTCACCAACCAGAACACTAGCCAACCGGGTGAGGAGTAACACCTCCCAGGACATCTCAGTCGCTCGGTGACTCAATTCAGTTCAGTTTGTGTGCGAGAAACTTGCCAGGCACGAATTCAATTTCGCGTCCACAGATGCCGTTCACCTTCGGCACGTACGACTATCAACGTCAACAAGTTACACCCGCCCCCCTCCAGTGGGGAGAGTGAAGTGTGTTTGAGGGAGTGAGCGGAGTTGGTTGCTAGTAGGCGTGGCAAACTAAAGTGGAAAACAGCAGTCAGACAATACAATTGCTTCCTCGAATGCATCTGGCGTCTCGGCTTCTTCTTCCTCCTCCTGTTCCTGCTGCTCCTTCTTCGTCCTGCTGTCGTCTCACTTCCGCTGAATTTTGTGAGACATCCTTGTCCTGATCCGAGTTGTTGCCATTGCCCATTCCCCTTGTTAGTCACCATGGCGAACGCTCCTGATGCTCCTGACATTTTATACTGAATTATTTATTTAGTTTTGCTTTCTCTATGTGCTCATTACTTCCTTTTTCCCGTCATACCCTGTACTCTTGCATGTGCACATAAAGGATATCAACAGTAAATATATTTTTAAGCAGAGAAATTATTTAAAAATATGCATACTGCAGGACAGCTCGTATTTTGAGGGATTAATTTAATTTATTGCTTTAGTTTTGTTTAGAAAGATTGAAGAAATTCACAAAACTATTCAAGAAACAATTTTTTCATTTTGAACGAATGATTAAGTAAGGATAATAAGAAATGTGCGTGCTAAGAAAGGTTATTTATTGGCCCATATTAGAATATTTTAGTTTTTGTCTTTATTAAATATATTAATATTATTTAAGAAAAATGTGCTGTGTAGCAGAGAGCCTTCAAATTAATTGCAGGGTAAGTCTGAGTCTGTCACTCTCACTTCGTGGAGAGCTGCTTGTTTTTCTTTGTTTTCAGCAAGTTTTCGACGTACTTTGACATTTTTATTGTGCTGCGTTCGATTTGCAGACAAGAAAGTCAAGAAGCCTGAAATATAAGCCAAGTCCATACGACCAGGGCGATCACTCACCAATCTAATTAAATCTATGTATATATATATATATATATATATATATATATATATACTCATATGTATGTGCTTAGAAGTTGGCTCTTGTTAGCATTCGCAGCAAATGAAATTGAACAAAATGCGGCGCTTAGAATGTTTGATTACCTCTGAGATTTGTGCCGTCGCACTTCTACTAAAATTAAATATGACTGTGAAATATTTTCAATTTGTGGACACGAAAACTTTTGTTCGTGTGCACTGCGTACATTTTGGACCCGGGGGAAATTTGCTAACAGAAAATAAAAGTTTCTGGTCAAGTGAGTGCAAAACTTTTAAGTGACGCACTTTTTTTTATATTTACTTTGTCCATCTCCCCTCGCCCTCCCTCTCTCACTCTCTCTCTTTCACTCTATCTTCGCTCTGGGAACATAGAGGAGAGGATTATGGATGAGTGTACAATTTATTAGGCTTTCCTTGTGTGCAACAAATTGTTGAGATGCGTGTGTCTGTGTGTGTGATTTGTTTAGAGCTGTTGATTACATTTGTTATCTAACACCTAACTCCCAAATCCCTTAAAGTATACACATTCACCAGTTGGAACATAAAAGTGGACTGATTTCCTTGCGGAATTACTTGATTTTGTGCCTTTTTTTTATAAATATAATAAGAATATCGAGAAGAAGTCTCTATATTTATTTTTTTCGTCTCAAGTCCTTCAAATTGCTCCGTTCTCTTGTTGGGCTTAACTCGAATAGCTACAAAACTTAAAGTTTTAAAATTTTCCCAAGTTTTATGAAATGGAGTATTTTGAGGCATTAGTTGGGCAGCAGCACTTGCTTCAAGGATGTAGAAGAAGATATATAATTGTAATAAATACAAGTATAATTTTCACTTAATCTTCATTAAAACTTAATTTTTAATTTTAATCTCAATTCATTTAGAGTGGAACAATTCACCAACTTTTTAATGTTTTTTTTTTTTTTCAGCAACACATTTAGTGGAAACAGAATGTTGAGATCGTTGTGTAAAGGTCGACAAGTCGGAAATTCAGATCTCTGTGCCATAAACAAATTTGTAATTGCCTTGTAATGCCTTGTGTTGACAGGCGTCTGACAAACAGATAAGGCTCTAGGCCCATTCACTTCGAGAGCTAGGAAAGAGCAGCCAAATGGACATTGTTGTGTGTCTGCGGGTGTGTGCATATATCTCTCTGTGTGTGTGTGTGTGTGTGAATGTGAATGCTGTTGCAGAAATTAGCATAAAACTTCGATTTCGCTTGCGCACATTGCGGCCAACGCCAAATGGCAAATGGCAAGTGGCAAACAGCAAACAGCAACTGGAAAATGGGCAGAACGAGGTACAAAAATGTATTTGCCAGGCAACAAATGGCAATAGATTGCAAGCCATAAACCCAAACGGGCTTAAATGCCATACGTGTTAGGTACTCGCAGAGAACATAAATGAATGAATATTACAGTAGTCGTATGCGACTAGTAGATACCCTACACTTCAAAAAAAAAAAAAAAAAGCCAGCATATAGTCTGGAGAGAAGTAGAAAACAGTATTCAAGCTGGAAACAAGTTACGTCTTACTTGAAATAAGCTATGTGAATTGTTGCTGCATTTGTATTCATTAATATTATGCACAATCTGCTATCTGCTTAGACTAATCTTGTTTCACATCCTTGTAGCAACTGTTTCTCCTCAATTAGAAAAGTAACTAAATTGTGAAAGAAATATCTAGCTATAGAATCGAGCCATTTTCAGCCTGGTATTGCAAACAGAAAAGTGCGCAGGACACGTGTGTAAAAATGTCGGTTATTTTCTGCATTAATTACAAATCTATTTCAAGTTTCAAATTGAGCGGAGTCCTTTTCAAAAATAAATAGTAAATCTATGGGCCTAAGGGCTTTAACTCTATTGCCTGCATAAGCTCAGCTGAAGTTAACTCAACTTTTTCGTTCATTTGACTAATTAAATTTGGAAAGTTGTCTGCTGAAATTTGTATGAATATTTAAAAAGTTGGGCCAAATGATTCGCCTCATCGTTTGCGTTTGCCTCGAACTGAGTTGAGCAGAAAGACAAAGGCTCTTCAAATTGAAAATTCATCAAAAAAGTTGAATACTTTCGTAAAATGAATCAAATATTCATGTATGCACGCAACTTTTTATTAGTCCAAAAAGTTGGATTGGCTAATAATTTGCTGACTCTAAAAAGCAATTAGCCTTAACTCCTAATACCACAAAAACTTGAATAGATTTTGCCACAGGCAGAGTTTTTCAACTCAAATCTGAAAGTTTTTGCTTGCGAGTGCTGCACAACTGCCCTGCATAGTTGGAGACAGTGTTGAGTAACATGTGCGCTTATCGATAATATTGTGGCACAATTTGTTGCTTGTCAAAGTTAAAATCAATTTAGCAATTTAGATAGCTGAAGCTGGCCACACACACATTCATGCAGTCCCTCCGAACGCCACTATTATAAAATTCTACGAAATGCGTAAGGCAAATGGATTTTAATATTTAAATCAATTTTAACGTGAACTACTTTGTGGCTGTTGAAAGTTTAGATGTAAGGGAAGAGAGTTATTAAAATTGGATTACGCCCATAGCGCAAGACATCTTCTATACAATAAATTCGAATTAAATATTCTTGATGGCCATCAATACACACAATACACATTCATGTCAGTTTGTTTCTATGCAAACTTGTCCACCTGTGTGAAATTAGTTGTTGGTGGTATTTACACCAGAATCGGCCAGATCGAAAGAAGATGTTATAAGAACTATCATTTATCTTATTTCATTACAAAAAAATTGAAATCTTGAATATATTCTGCTCTTTTCTTATATATCTTTGCGATATCTTTTTGAGCTCTGAGCCTTGGCATGAGCTTTGGTCTGCGCCTTATTCTGGGCCTTTTCCTGTGCCTTGGCCTGCTCCTTGGCCTCGGTCTGGGCCTGAGCTTGAGCCTTAGCTTGGGCCCGTGCCTTGGCGTGCTGCTCTGCCTCGTACTTCTTTAGATTATGGCCATATGTATTGCATAGTCCTCTGTGCAACAGGCACTTTCTACAAATGATCTTTGTGTCTATCATCTCCATCTCTTTGGTCACTTCGTAGACGTCCCACAAGTGAGCCTTCTTGTAGGCCTCCAACATTTGAACATCACTCTCGGTTTGCATCTCGAAAGGTACGCTTACAGGTTGCGTCGTTGCAAAGATGTCCTTATTCATGTTATCTGGCTGTTAGAGAGCCACGTTTATTGGAGAAACCACAAGAAATACAAAATAACTTACTGGGCTGCAGTTCCACATTTCCTCAAAATTGGGATCCATGTTTGTATTTTTTGCTTAATGACAAAATCGATTGGCAAGCAGCATTTATCAATTTTGACATTAATTTCTCGGCTAAGAAACTTCGTCTGTTTGACAATGAAAACCTGAGAAAGTCGATAGTTTATTTGAAGTCAAATGATTTAGGGAACACGGGCTGATTTATTTTATTTAGTGGTTTGTTGGCCGATTATAAGCCGCAGTTTAATTTGATTTTGTGCCAAATCTCATGGTCTGCATGTAAAAGTAGTTTATTGCACTAGGAGCTCATAAATATTTATAAATCGAGTGTTTTAGTTTGTTATATGTTAATTAAGATGGGAAGTGTTGGCACAGTTACATTTCGAGCATCTGGCAATGTGGTAAATAATATTTACATGTCTCGGCATTTGCATAGCTAACGACAAAAACTATTCTCGGAGCTGATAAAACACACAGTCAGTAGCACAACCAGAGCATGTAGTTGTAGTAGTGGGTTCTCCAAGCAGCTTACAAATTAATGCGAACTCGCACGTGTTAATTCAAGGATGTGCTCCTGCTCCTGCTCCTGTCTTAGCTGCTGGCATCATTTTATCCTTTCTGTGGCTTGCACAAGGATTCGGCATGAATTTGCATATTAGAAAAAGTTGTTCGGCTTGTGAAATGCCAGCTTAATATGCGTGAAGTAGTTTTGACTGCTTAAGAATAACTAAACTGGAAGTAGTCTAAGTTCCATGTGGGCCAAAAAACCGTTTTGTGGGCGGCATAAGTAATTAAGGCACATGTGGCAACTATGATACCAGATGCCCCATCTGTTGGCATTGTTTACTGGCAGCTACGTAAACAAAAAGAGTTTTCCAACTTGTTGCGAACACACTGAAGTTTCATTTGTTAGTTATGTTTTTACAATTTGCTGAGAGCCAAGCAATGTCAATCAGTCTGCGCTGAAAGGGTTTGAGTATTTCTAATTATTGGCTCAATTTAGAAAATTAAAGTTTTCAAGTCGCTCAAAATACACCTAAAAATCTTCACATACCAATAATTTGGACAAAATAAAGCAGTTTTCATATTTGAGTTGGTTTTGTATGCTGACATTTTTAATTCAATTAGATTTGCATTGATTGAAATAAAGATGTGAAATAAACATAGACGAGCATTCTGTTAATCGTTTATTAGATCTCTTGAATCTGTGTATTCGCCGGCATGTCTGCAATCTGCGAGCTTTTCTCAGAAAACTTAAACTGTATAAGTATGACCAGGTAGGTGAGCACAGCGGCAAACATCTAAAAGACGACAAAATGTATAAAATTATTTGTTTGCTTACAATCAAGATTAGCTGTTTAACACTGACACTACTCAAGAGTTGCAAATTGAGGCTAAAAAAGTGCTTGGCATTCACCACAAAGCGTTGATGCAGAGCCTGCAGGAGAAATTCGCTGACCAAATCATTGTAGCGCTTGCTGCCCAGAGGTTTGACCAGCTTAGGAATCAGACAGCCAATCTGGCGACTCTGAAAACGAAAGAAGTTAAAATATTAGATAAGTAACTGTAAGATATGAACAGAAATATTGTGAGTGACCTGATCTTAATTGTAAAAATTATTATATTTAGGTAAATTAGCAAAATCAAATGTTGTCATGGAGATTTTAAAAATATTTTGCTTCATACAAATATATATTCATTAAAAATATTATTAAAAATTAAATAGTAGAATAAAATATGTCTCACATGATTAAAGGTTTGCTGGCAGTGCCAACAGATCGCAGAGACTAAGTTTAGAAGATTACTAAGATAAATCAAGCTATTCAAAAGAAGTGAATTAACTTTGTAGTTTGAAATCAGCCAATAGCAGCTAAACACAATGTCAATAAAGTATACAATAAAAATGACAAGCAAACTATTGCCATAAGACGAATTGAGATGCATAAGCATTTGATAGAGTTGGCTATAGCGCTGCTTAAGTTCAATGACTTGATTCACTTCCGGTGTCTGTCGAAGACGGCTGTATTGTCTGGCCAATAATTTGACACTATGCCGTAAACAGAGCAGCCGCTCATTGACCACCAACAGATCGTGGAGAAATGCAATCGACTTGAGCTGAATACCCCAAATGCTGGGATACATTAAAATGAAGAAAAGCGAATACCAATTTATTGGATTTATTATTTTTACGTAGACAAGTCCACTCTGGCTCAGAAGGAAAGGCACGAAGACAAGAGCTACACATAGAATCACACTTCGAATATTCTCCGCTGGCAAATGTTCGACATCCAAATGATGATTTAGTTGACGATGTGTTCGACGCTGTAGAAATGTGTCCAGCACAATGATGATATGTGCTAAGGCCAGCGTTGGGAGCAACATCAGTGAGAAAAAACAGTCCAGGTCACAGAGCGGTGACCGGCTTATCTGTCTTACAAGAAGTGGACAAAGCACTGCATACCAGCAGATCCAAAAGCAAAATGACACAGACTGCAAGCGATGCAGTCGTGAATTCCACCGAACCCCAAAGCAACACATTCCCAGATGGAATAACTCCCTCACAATAACCGAACCACTCAAGACCTGCATGACTACTAATAATTGGAACACACTATAGGTTAAGAGCGACCTAAAGTGCCAAGTCAGTAAAGCACTTTATATCAAACAATATGTCACTGCCATAATTATTAAATTGCTGAACGAAATTTTCTTTTGCTTTCAGCTCTTATCGTGTGAAGACAAATTTAGATACAAACTGAGATTATACATTGAATGAAGCAAAATTAAAAGATCCTAACTTGGGGACTTCAGCTAAGGGATATCCTGGGCATGCCAAAATTACCCTACAGTACAACTCATAATAACAGCAACGCCTGCACCACTAACAAAGAAGTTATTGTTCAAGCTCAAATTTGCTAATAATTCTATTTCTTTAACAAAATGTGTTATAGCTATATTTTGTAAAGAGAGTTGTCTACTCACATTTTTGTCACTCGCATCGCCGTACCAGAAGAGTGCTATGATAAGTGTGCCCATGGCAAGGCATGTAGTGCCATTGTAGACAACCATATAGATACGCTGCTCTGCATATACCTCTGTGATGGTCCAGTACGCATTGGCGACGAACTCCAAGCCGCAAGTCAACTGCAGCCCTAGTATGCCCCAGCCGTAGCAATCGTTGAATGCCTCGTAGCTCTCGTAGATGCGATCGTAGCTCATGCACAGTGTTTCCAACTGTTTCCAGTCCTCAACTGCATAGGGTTGCCAGATATCATTGCCGGCAGCCAACCCCAGCAGTGAGTGACGTAATTGCAGAGTACGTTGATTCAACTCAATGAGTTGGCCGAGTAGTTGGATGTAGCGAGTGCGCAACAGCCACATTTGTGCCATTGATTTATAATGCACTGGAGAGGTTTGAGAATGGGCATTCACCAAAGATTTGAATATCTCACAGGCGAGCTGTGTGCCCAGCAGCAGGAGGAGATGCACTGAACGACGACAACTGCGAGACATTCCAAGACGCTGCATCTGTAGTTTCAATTGAAATCTCAAATTCTCCAGGCGTTCGTGTGTGTGATGTTTCCACATGCTCTCTACTTGGATGAGCAAACTCAGCAGTGCGTTCCCTATAAAGACAGCCGTACCGGTAGCAAAACCAATGCTCAGTTTAGATTCCATCCATAGGTAACCGCAACCGATCCAGATATTAACCAGAAAATAGCACAACCAAATGCAACGTATAAGCAAAGAGAGCAGCAACAACAATAGCTCGGATACCGGCGGTAGGGGCAGTAAGCCCATCGTCCAGTAAATGCCCAACAGGCAGCGATTGGTAAGGCTCTCCACAAAATTCATGGCGCTCCTTAAGAACACTGAATCGACACTGTGCCAATCAAGCTGAGAGCAGTAAATGGATTTTAATAAGGCGATACATCATTTAAGCAATAGTGCTTTATGACAGGCTAAATGCCACTGTCAATAATATTTTGAATCAATTAAATTGTAGTATAATTGAACTAGACGAACATAGACACATATAGAGACAGAGAGAAAGTTATAGAGAGTGAGAGAAAGTTATAGAGAGTGAGAGAAAGATGGAATCTTAATACCACAATAATAATTTGCTCACTCACATATGTCGCCAATTTATTACTGACTTCATTGGAAATAATATCTTTTTAATGTTTATATACTGAGAAATCAGCATATCAATACATAAAAACATAGCAATTAATTAATATTAAAAGTTACATACAAGATGAGCAAAATTATTATTAGTTACAAAGTTTTTATAAACATGGTTAATACAATCACTTATCTTAATTTGCAAGAAAGATGTACCTTGCCATTCAAGAATGCTAAGCATAAATACACCCATATATTGTTCTCAATTCATTCACTAAAGCTATACACTTGAGAAATTGTCAGGTTAGGAACTTGAGTAAGTACTTCACACCAACTACTTTATTTGGTATTTTGTACTTGCACTACAGTTTTGCTTCCACGGAATGTGCCCCTGGCTAATTTCTGCTTAACATGCACCAAATACGTAGGACTGAACTTATCGAAGACGTAAGGGGTAAATAGTACCAAATTTATCCATTTCAAGTTGCGGAGATAGGCAAACTTCGTTGCCCGAGGCACTTTTTGTCGAAATTTCTTAGCAATCCACTGAGTAAGAACCACTGAAATACGATGCGATGTGATGCGATGTGCCTCTGATGTGGTGGCAATCGAGCTGCGGAATCCGATTAAAAAGTTGAATCGTCAAAGTTGGATTTAGCTCTTCCACTCACTCTAATATTTATCTGTCTCACTCTCGCACTCTCTCTATGGAGAAGCGTTGTGGGCGCAGTTCAAATGGCTGCCGGTTTATGAATTATGTATTCTAGCCAAAGGGGGACTTTGCGTTCAAAGCTAAAAAGTATTCACTTTTTTCTCCACTTGGAAGGCAAGCAACTAAAAAGGGTTGTGGTTGCTTTGAAGATTAGGTCGAGCGGTTGGATGGTGGCATCCCTGCTTTGGCTCACACCCAAGACACCCTCTGCATTTATAAGTGCGCTGAAAATGCATAATTCGCACATACTTAATAAGAATTGAGAATAAGTCTTTATTCACAGCTTTGGAAATTAGGACAATGCAGCTAGAAGATACTCTCCTTATTTAAAATAATAGAGTTACATTTGAGAGATTGCCGTTAATCTCAATCATATATTTTTCAAACCGTATCTTATCCTCTTTCCTATAATATATAAAACGAGTGCACAAGTTCTGTCAGTAATATTTTCGATGTAACCTGCAATTGTCTGCAAAAATATGTCCTTTTCTGATAATACTGAAGCTTATGAAGCATTTATCATTCCATTAAGATTTCCATACTACATACATAAATGCTTAATATGCTTATGGCCACAAAAATTGCAGCAGTTCCACAAAGAGACGTATAAAAAGTAGAAGAGATTGACAATTGCATCGTTGCGGAAGGTTGTTGGTTAACCGCAAAGATTTTACCTTACATACGCTCGTAAAGGTGTCACAAATTGAGTAATGCAATTTTAATAATAACAACAATTTCATATGGCAACTATCTCGTTGAGGGGTTTCGGTCAGTTGCCCAGTTGTTGAGCAAATATTCGAGTATCTTCTTTTGTCTGCTCTCTCTCGTTACTCTACTGTCCAACTGGACCACAAAGAGAGTTTTGCATATTTAACAAGCGGAATTTAAATGAAAATTAATGCCAGTTGCTTCAGTTGGCAGCGGAAATGTTGTAGCAAAAATGATACTGAAAGCACTCAATTGTGATAAAGCTGAGTGTGCCGAACTGGGAAATACCTTGACCCCAGTTCAGAAATGCAAATGACATTAAAATTTTGTAATACACAAATTAAATTACAGCAAAAATAAGAAAATACAACTGAGCGAAATTTTAATCTGAAAATAACTTGTTCACTCAATTCCAGCCAACCTCAAGGAATGGATTTGGGATAATCGATTTTTGCGATAAAAGTGCTAAGCTCCAAACACTCTTTTGGTCACGTGCATTTATTTCTACAACTTTGTTATACACTATACAAATAGAGTAGGAATACTGAAAGCGAATACTGTCTTTTGTTTGTATTTTATTTTAACTGTAGCATAACTGACCTGCAATTGCATATAATAATTATCTGTGTGCATAAATGCAATCATTATTTTAACCAATTTGAAGCAATTCGAAATTTTATCGTAAATTGATATTAACAGCAATTTTGCTCTGCTTATTGGCACTTGTGAACCTAAAAGAATGCGATAATTTAACGAACAATGCTGGGCAAAACTGTGATTTTGTTGCTTCTATGGATAATTCATGGCAGTTTGTCGGTCATTTTTATGTGGCGAAATGTCGATATAATGCGTATTCCTTACGACTAGTGACAAGGGAAGCGAAAATACATAAATCTAAAATTCCAAGTATTTGAGCACCAATAAATTTTCATTTTGATAAACCCTTAAGCCTTTTCATGGCCAAGCAAACTTTTGTGATTTATGAAGTTTTCAGCTACTTCGCAGCACTTTTGGCAATAAAACACAACCCACATTCGACATGAGAAACACAACTTTGTGTTTATGTATTTACATTTTAAAGACTTCAGCAGAACACAAAACAACAAAAAAAAGAGGACACAACAATAATCCTCGTGAGGAAAAAAAATGTTTTTTTTTGTCCGATTGTATTTCATAAACCAAATGCTATAAAAATGACAATTTCAATAAACAAACTCAAGTGTAAAAGAGTATTGTATTTGTGTGACAAAAAAAAAAATAACAAAAATAATAAAAATGAGCATAAAAAAATGTTGTGATAGAACTTTTTCAACTGTTAATACAGTTTGCATAAATTTCATTGATTTAAATTACAATATTACAATATGGTAGATGGATATCAAATTTGAGTCGTTTGTAATTTGCGCACAGCTTGCGCTGTTGTAGCCGAATATCCATAAGCAAAATGAGACATGGCTCCTTCTAATATTGTTGATTTTCGTATGCAAGCCAAAGGAAGAGGGATGAAGGATGAACGATGGCGGACACATGACATGGGGATGACACCAACTGCGTCAGCTGGCGATCAAAGTCAAATTAAATTGAAACAACTTTTTGGCGTTTTTGGCCATGGTCACAGCCCTTCGCCTGTCTTCACAGAGCAATAAATATGTGTACATCATCTACATACATGTATATATCTCACACACATTATGCACATATCAAGCAGCAGGAGCAGCAGCAGCAGCAGTTAACATGAAGAACATGTTCCTTTCATATTACGCACTTGCTGCCAAGTATCGTTCATTCATCTGAAACGTGACACCACATGCCAAATGTTCATGTTGTTAGTTCATCTGAGAATTGTGCAAACAATAAATTGAACTAATTCATTCATTCTCCCTCTCTATCTCTCTCTCTCTAAGTATCTGTTGTTTCTCTATTTTTCTCTATTCAAACTATGCTTTGCTCGTAAAGTAACTTTATATTGCACACTGAATTATTTACTTTTCAACGAATAACATTCCAGTAAATATTTCAGTTGTGGTAACGACTGTTGGAATATTAAGCACGGTTGTCATTTTTCTAGTAACATCTGCATTTTAATTACTAAATATACAAATGTCAGCTTGCAGTTTAAGCAACACGAGACAAGATAAGAGCACATCCTTTTAAATTGGGATTAGATAAATACTAAGCAAAATAGACTATGAATATTGATAGAAAGATTATACACATGGTTTTTATTTTGGCCAATATGCTGACAAGTTTCGCTAGTCATTTAGTTTTATTTTATTCAATAACATTTATCTATGCAATGTAAATACTTGTTTTTATTTTAAGTAATGTATCCATTCGCATTGAATGGCATTCCATTATGTTATTATTTAAATTAAAGCATGTCGCATTCTCTTATATCTTATTTCTTGTTTTAATTTGTCTATTTTAACATTACGAAGGCCATTTAAAACAGAAACAACATATGGGGCATGCTCCAATGCATTGTTTGGCCTCTGTGTAAAATTGCTGTCAGGGAATTATATATAATTTTTTTTTACTCGTATGTTTGAATGTGTGGCCATAATATCGTACGTGTTCAGCAACGCTTAACCGATATGCTAGAGTAATTTTATTTTTTGCAATTTCTATTTGAACGCCTGGCGCCAAATGATGCGGCTAAAATGGGCGTCGACGGTTGTTGGACTGTTTTGTTGGTTGTTGGCAACTTGCCAACATTTAATGACCAAAACTAATAACAAAACGCAAAGCATTACATGCAACTGCTGAACATTTTCAAATTGAAACTTATCTTCAATTTACGTTGGCGGATTTTATAGATTTTGCGTACTGCCCGCATAATAAATGTATTTGCTAATCAGCGGTGCAATATTGATATATTTATTTATTATGCTGATAATCATTTACTGATTAATTCGCCAGGATTACATATTGTAATATTACCTGTTCGTTTGCTCGACAAAATGTAAAATAATAATTTGTTCCACATATTTGAGGATATTTATTGAATAAACTGCGATTGGTAAATGAATGATAGGCCGTTATACAGCTATTTTCATAGAATGATTCCATTTTTTTGGAAGGAGGAATCAGTAGAATCTATTATATGTGTTGTCCCAATAATATTATAATTATTTATTATGACGATAAATTTATGAGTGAGTTTTAATGCTCTAATTACTAACCCAAACCAGTTCACGGTAATATGCATTTTAAAATTTAATTTATATTTATATTAAATGTATCTCAGTTATTTTCAAACGGTAGTTGCTTTTAGCACATTTAAAATGTATTTGGTGCAAGTTTTGTAGCCGCATAATGTGACAGTTTCTTCAACTCGTTTGGTGTTGCGCAGAATGTTGCGTTATTTATGTATGCGCCTGTTGCAGCTACAGTTGGTGCAACTTTCGTTTTGCGATTTGTACGTTGTTTTCTTCTTCTTTTTTTTATTATCATTTGTCGGAATATGGTGTGGGTGTTTGGTAACTTTAGTGTGGCTTTTAAGTTGTGTATAGCCCTATTTGTAGTTAGTTGCAAGACCAACGAAGACCAACTGTAGCAGCAGCTGGATGGTAAATAAATCACGTATTTAAACAAGTTGCCAAGTGGGCCCCAAAACTTCAGAGTGTAAACATTGCACGTACTACACAAGTTTGGTTTATGACAAATGTTCACAGCATTTTCAGATACAGAACAACAACAGCAGCAACAACATCGCATAATAATGAACAACAGGATAGACGAGGTTTCGAGATGCAGACTGTGACTCAAGAATAGAGTAGAAGACCCCCCTTATCATCCTCGAGCTTGCGTTCCCAGAGCACCTTGAACGAGATGTCCCCACGAAGAGAGCCGTTCTTCTCAGTGGGCGTTAGATAACCGTTCCTGAACTGCGCCAAGATCGGCAGTATCCCGACAATAGCCGCTCTAGTTTCGCTGTGCTGGGTGGAGTGCAATACCAGCACGTAACCGTTGGGGAATATCGCAAATCTGATTGCAGTACCATCGATCTTGTACGTAATAAATGGTCGCATCTCTCGATTCCCGATCACATGATCGCTATGCATTTCGCTCAACATTTCCAGATCGATCTTGAAGGGCAGACAGAAGGAGGCGTGCACAATATTCTTACTGAAGTTCGTGATGTCTGTATTGTAGTTCAGGTTTTCAACCATGTGGATGACCTTCAGCAGAGCCATGCGAGCCGCGCTGGCTGTCAGCGCCGAAGATGTTATTTTACCACCCGCATATAGCTTCAACTCAGCACTGGGATTACGCAGACGCACGAACAATGCCGGATGATGGGTGGGCTCATAGAGGACGTCATCCATGAGAATTGCCAGTTCGTGGAGTCGAAAACGGCAATTGACATCGACGACGCAGGTGAAGGGTCTATAAAGTAGCTGCAGATGTTTCTCAATCTCGACCAAGCTTTCGATATTATCATAAATATTATCGTAATCGATTTCAAAGTCTGGTATTATTGGAGTTTCTTCAACATTAGACTGTCCAGAGCGGCGATTATTTTCGTGGTCATATTCAATCTTTTCCAGCTCGATTTGATCATTTATTGCAAGTATCTGTGATAGGTTCTTCAGTTTAATTACATCCATATCGGCATTATATGCAGCACTTTCAATTGCATCTTCAGTCAAGTCGTTTTTAACAAAATCTCCAATCACATCCGCCTCATCTTTAGCATCATCCACCCCAAAGTCCCAGACCAAGTCATAATACTCTGATTCCACTTGCTTGGCATTACCAAATTTATAGATTGGTTCATTTTCTTCATCCCAAGGACTCGAATTACTGGTAAGATCTTTTATCTTTTCATCCGGAATTGTTTCTATTATAAGATTCAGCTCCTGGAGCAACTCTTGCATAATAAACTCCCCAATTGTTGTAAGCTCATTTTTATTTTCAATATTATTCGAAACATTAATAGTTGGCACTTTTTCTCTCTTCTTGTGTTCATTTATGTCCTCAGTACTATTTTCTAAACTATTTGTCGTTGCTTCCTCTCTTACCTTCCTGCTTCCTCTCTTTTCATCATTGTAGTCAGTACCTTTGCTAAAGCGTTATTAATATAATATATTTCTAAGCTTTCAATTCAATTGCTTACCCTTCTTTATTAATATCCATCCTCAATGAATTCAACTAAGATACTTTATAGGTGGGGATAATTTGTGTCTGCCTTCAAAAGTTGTGGGTTAAATTGAATATATAATTTAATAAAAGGCACAAAATCTTAAATATGTAAATAGTTTGATATCTGAAAGTAAAATCAACGTATATTAAGTCTGACGATGTTTAACATCACCCAATCTAGTTGGGATGAACTCTTTTAAGTCACTCCTATCCGAATCAGTTGCCTTGACAATTTTGAAAGGATAAATATATATATTGCGCATGAAATTTACAAAGAAAACATCTTTTGAGTGATTGAGAAACGAATCAACCGCACTGCAAATTTGATGAAATAGATAGTGTTTAGATGTGTTTAAATTTTTTAGTAACATTAAAATATGAATATTGAATATAACAAAAAGATAAAATAAATTATTTATTTCTCTTAAATTTGTATCTGAATGTCTGAATTGTTTGATATGCATATAACCATTAACCTCAGATGGTATTTTAACAACAGTATTGTATGTGCCTGACAAACTACAGCAAATTACGAATGAGGGGGGAAAAAATCGAATGGTTTCGCTTCATTTCTCTCATGTCCTTTTATGTCCTTGTCATGTTCAAATTTACACACTGTTGACCATATTTTATGTCCATTCTGATTATGAAGTTTACAGTGCTGTCAAAAAGAGTTCAGCGACATTTTAGTAAATATTGAAATTTAATCAAGTAAAGTGCAAAACACACACATACACACACACATACACAAACACACACACACACAGTGAACAGAGGCCGGCAATGAACAACAACATTGAACACATTCACCCCTCAGACACCTGTCATCGTCGCTGGCACTGGCTTCCTGCTGGCTAGCATCCAAGCTTTATAAGGGACACACAATGCCACATGAGTGTGTGTGTGTATGTGTGAATATGTGTATGTTTGGCAAAGTCAACAATCAATTGAATCGATTTCATTTTACAAATTGCGTTGAATTTTGTGGTGCTGCCAGCTGCAATTGACGGCGAAGCCAGTAGCAACAATAACGAGCTAACCTCAGTCCTTGCACATCACAGCTGGAAGGGGTGAGAAAGGGACAAAGGGGAAGGAGAGGTGATGGAGAGATAAATGTCTCCATTATAGCAGACTGATTTTGATGGTCAACTGCAACTACACGCAACAGCTCCTAATTGGAAGTTCACGTTGAACAGCAACGAACCGCAGAGAGAAAGGCAAACTGGCTGTGGATGGATATCGATTGGATTTCTTGTAAGCAATTGAAAGATAGATCATACCAATACTCCAAGTAACTACTGAGCCACAAAAGCAAATCAAAATGAAGGAAGGAGAAAGCAGGACTACAAAAATACAATACATTTATCATTTTTAAAGGATTTACTATTTTTACAAGCAAATCAGTATCATTTTTTGACTCAATCCAAAAAATATGTATGTAAATAAAAAACTATTTATTATCATCAAATTATTCTTATTATTGTTCACATTATTATATTTTTTCTTTTTTTTCACTGTTTTAACTTTACCTAAAATCGATTACAATTTGTTGACAAGGGTTAAGAAAAACTAAAGAAAAAATATTTACAATTCATATTAAAATTCTGCCCTAAAAGATCCACTTGGTTACGGTTTCAAAATTATGAATTTGATAATGGTTTTCTCCTCAATATTATGTTCGGAAACGCGATGAGTTTAATTGGGTTTTTGTAAAATATTCAGTTGCTAATCAAATTTATATAAAAGTTGTACAACTAAATCCCATTTGTCAGTGCTGAAAATGCAATTTAGAATGAGGGTCCGTAATGGCCCTGCTTAAATCGATTATAGACCATTATAAGCGACACCCAACACAGTCGGCAATTAATAGATTTTTTCGTGGTTGGACTGCAGCGGTAATTTTGTGTAGGCGGTAATTAAAAACTGTGGCGCCAGCTGTGACCCACCATGGCCATGGCCCATGGGTAAATCCCATGGTCTACTAGCTGCGCTTGTGTTGTGTGGGCGGTGGGCTTTGGTGGTTAGTTGCCCACTCATTTTAATTCAAATTGAAGTGGCGTTTTTGTGTTGTGCGAGTAATTAGAGCCCAAAGTCGAATCGAAGCTCGCTGCCAACTCAAATGGCATTTGGTCAGCCCCCCTGGTTTTAGTTTCCTAATCCCATTCCCAATTCACCCAATGGGTGACTCTCCCTCTCTCTCTCTCTGTCTCCGTCTGGTGCCTTGTGGACTGGTGGGTGTGATGAACAATTGGAGATAAGTGCAGGCAGGCATGAAATATGGCAAATAAAGCGGCGCCCTTTGCCTCGACAAGCACTCGCATATAAAATGTCGCCATCACGCAATGTTTTCATTTACCTAATCGCCATTAGACAGAGCGAGGAATAGAGGCGGGTGGGAAAGGGAGAGGGTATGAGCATTTCGTGGAATTACTCTGATGTTAGTGGGCTGGCTCTGTGGCTGATTTCCATTGGGGGCTTCAGAGTCATGTAATCGTTTTGTGTTGCGACTTTTGCTTTTATAATTTGTTGGAATATTTGATGTACATTCACCGAGCATTAAAGTTGCAAGCGTTACAACAATTATGCCCAACTCCAGAGAAATAGTTAGTTCAGTGTGATTTCGATTGTATTCAATCAATGTAATTTACTATACTCATCGATAAGCGATTTATTTCCGCTCAAGACTTACATTTTTCTTGGCAATACAATAAAAATCGTAATCAGTGGAACTATTAACCTGTATAAAAATCCTTTACTTACTAATTAAATATTTCTTTATATGTTTTAATTAATTTGGCTTTTCCGTATTCACCCAATACAATTAATATAGCTTTCTAGTGCTTCTAAAGAGCAGACGCTTTTTCCGGTTATAGATTTGTGTTTTGCAATTAAAAAGGTATTTTTTTGCAGTTCACGTTGTGGGCATTATAAAAGTTTAGTCGTTTTGGAAAATTATCCTTCGACTTGTGGTTGGGAGAAGGTAAAAACTCAATCCAATTGACACATTAATAAATGTTGTAAAATGCCACTGACAGTTTTTGGCTACAAAATAGAGTGTTAAGTGCATTAGAAAGTTTCTCTCTATATATTTTATAGCTTTTGTTTTATTTTTGTCTTCTCCTCTATCAAATTGTGCAGTTCCACGCATGGTCAGCACGAAGTATCTCAGCTACAGATGCAGCTGCAGCTGGTGCTGTTGTTGCTGCAGGGTAAAAACCATTCGCCCACAACTTAAATTGAGTGCTCGTCTCTTGCCCTCTTGCCTTGTCTGTGGCAACTTTGCAACTTGCTGTCTTCGAATCGGACATAGTCGATCGTCCATAGCCCATCGCCCGCATCCACATTCACATCCGTCCGCATCCGGTGGACTCGTAATAGCAATTGCTGTCGTCATCGGCGCTGTTGCTGAAGGTGTTCATGCGTGCCAAGGAATCAATAGAAAAAGTTTGAAATTAAAAAATTGGAAAGAAAACAAATAGTGGGGCGTACAAAAAATAAACAAACAAACCAAAACAAAACTACGAACTAAAGCATCGGACCACCCAACAAAATTGTTGGCTTTGGCCGGTCCCCAATGGCAAACAAATCCTCTGACTCTCTGACAAATGCTGAAAAGTTCAACTGCAACTTTTTTTTATTCCAACTCACATTCGCACACACATGACACGCAATCCAGAAGGAGTTCGAGTACATAGAATATTCCGTGTACACATATTTATTTGCTTCTGCGAATGGAAGAACTTAAAATATTGCAACATGTGATGTGAAAAAAGAATTGACCAAAATAAAGAGTTAATGTTTATTACTTATTTGTTAGAATTCCCAAATGAACAATTTAACAATCTTGATAGATGTTCGCCAATTAACAGAGTCACATTACTGCCTCTGACTTCTGTCAACTTGCAACATCATTTCCATTGGCTTAGTCAAAAATCAAGTTGCATATTGTAGTAATGCAAATTAAACACGATTATTTATTGATAGATGCTCTCGAATACGACATTCTATTCACGCCCCGAGGGTCTGGTCATTGTTGATGTCCCATCTGTCTCCGGTTGATGTGACTCTGTGGAATCTGCGTACTATCATAAATTATGCCTTCGTTTGGTATTTAAAGCTGGCATTGTTTCAAGCCGGTTTGATTGGGTTACACACACCATGCCCCATACACATTCCTCCTGCCACCAGACGGCAGCAGCGTAAATGCAACTTGATTTATGCTCAGCAAAATGCAACGAAATAAAATTTGTTACAATGGGGAAACATCGATGAGATCAAAGTGAGTGATTTATAGGCTGTTTATCGGCTCTGGCCGGTTGCAACATGATGTAATTTTCAACTTCACATTTACATGACAGTTTTAAGTGCAGTTCGACATTTTACGCGAATTAAATTTGTCTGTCAATACATGTCTTTAAAAAGGATATTATTTATTACAAATTTAACGAACGGAAATACAAATTTCAATCACCTTACAGAGTTAGTTTTAGTACAAATTCTTGAACTTTATTTAAAAATAGTTACAATATACAATATATATAAATATAAAATATATATAAAAATATATATGTATATATATATTATAATTTGAGTAAATTGATTGAGTTTGTACTTGATCCAGCTTATAATAGGGTATGTCAACAACGGTATTTCTTAGACTTTTTTTATTGACAACAGCATATGCCATGCAGTTTAACACATGTCCTGACTATTGAGCTGACTACTCACTAAGGCAGAGAATCTAGGATGAAATCATCTTTTATTCATGATGAAATGCATCTTTCAATGTTTGAAAGTCGAAATCTGTTTTACATGTTTCCAAACGATATTGCAACTCTTTTCCAAAATATTATTGCAAACTGTTAATAAGTAAAACAGTTATACTTGAATCAGTATGAATTATTTCGAGGTCTTCGCTTAGACTCTATATTCTTTGCACTCCTCTCAAAATGTCTCTGCGCTCAATTTTCAGTTTACAGCGCACACCTTTCAAAATGTGCAAATTTAGAACTTGGTGACGCGTTGCTTAAAGTTGCGACACAATGTAAGACATCCGAGCGAACGTTAGCGTTGCCGTTAAAATGTACCGTTAATTTCCCAGAGGCATTCCCATTGCATATCTAAAACATGCGCCAACTGCCAACAGGGACCGCAGGATGGTACACTGTAAAGAAAAACTGCGTAGGTGTGAAAATAAAAGGTGTTCCATTTAATGCCTTAATGCTTAACTTGAGGACGTGACAGGCGAATGGAAGGGTAAACAACACTGCTTGACTTAAATTTATCCAAGTGGTAAGGGGACTCAGCGTAAAATTGGATCAGTTTTGATTCCCGTATAATCTACATACACAAAGAGTATAATGCTCTTGATATGGTGTTACCTGCTAGAAAGTATCTACTATATTATAACTTTCTGTAAGATTTCTTATGTGCATTTTACCGCATGGCCTTCAAATGGAAAATCGGGTTACTAATTATAAGTGGCAGACAATTGCGGCTGTCATGAATGAATGTCAAGAATTTGTTTGAGGTTGCCGAAGGGAAGAAAGGAGGGAGGAAAAGAAGCATTATACCGCTCTCATGAACAGATGCACTCACAGGCATGAGGATGTGCTCGGGAATGCATTGCACAAGTCGCAAGCACTGGCTGAAGAGGACGCTCACTCGACTTGAGGGCTGTACAGAGCTGATCAATGCAATGCGCTAGGCGCACATAATTCATAAATTGCGCATACGTCATGGAAGACGGCTGTGAAGAGTTTGTTAACGCAATAGATTTGCAGTCTCTATAGCTTAATGGGCAGAAATAGCTACTACAGACGGCTCTCGAAAACTGTTGCCAGATAAAAATACATAATTAAAGAGGCTAGCAGCGCAAAGGAGTAGCGAAAACATTATGGACATACTTGTGGAGAAAGAATTTTATAGCTGCTACTTAAAGGAGAGGGAGGCGGTGGATGAAACGGACAAATAGGAGGAGTAGGGCAACGAATCGCATAAATTCGCATTCACCGCATCATAATGTCCGCAAATCCTGGCTCAGGTCCCTTGCAATATTAATAAGCACTCGAAAATGAAAAGGAGTCAAGTCAAGGCGAGTATTCTGGCCAGGTCTTTAAGGAATTTTAATGGGCTTTGGTCAGGTCAAAGTGGCAACGCAGAGGGAGGACGCACAGGCAGGCAGGTAAGCATTCAGGCGGACATTTGCCGCAGTTTACCTTTTGCATATTTTATGCCTGAATTTTAATGAAAATTAAATCGAAATGTGCGACACCTGAGTTATACACAGAGCGCACTTGACATTTATACTTAATCCTTTTTGGCTAACAGCTGTAGCTTGCCACCCACACTCAACTCGGTTCAAGTAAGTGGGTGGGGGGGCGTGGCTGTGTGTAAGTCAAGCGCACTACAAATGGCAAATGGCCACGAGCAGCAAATAATAAAACATGGCCCACTGATTGATGACTTTGACTTTTGGCCATAATTTATCATAGATATCAGGCAGCTCGCACTTATTTTTGCTGCTGTTTGGCTTTTGTCAATGGCAGCGAACGAAAAAAAAAACAGCAGCCCCAGCGGCAACAGATGACGCTCATTCCGTTGAAAAATGCGCACAAAAGTGTCATAAAAGCCGAGCCGAGTCGAACCGTGCACAACAACAATGAACAACAAGCCGAAAGCGGGTCTCATCCGGGAGGAGTAACGTCGAGGCCGAAAACTAATTGCAACAAATAATAAAAACTAATAGGCTGTCGAAAAAGGAGGCCGGCGGGCGAGCGGAAAACAGCCAGTGCTATCAGTCGTAGAATACACTCTCCTCCGCACCCAAGCAACATCCGCTCACCCCCACCCCCTGCGTCCCCAAGCTCACTCGACATTTGCCAGTGAAAAATGACAACGAAAATGGCCATGGCGAAAAAAAAAAACTGCAAGCAATGGCAAAGGCAAAGATCATCATCATGAATCATCATCAGAGCAGTCATATGACACAAACACACACACTCACACAAACACATACACATACAAGCACACACATACACAAGCACAAGCAGAAGCACAAACACATAAACATACATAAGCAGATGAAAAACAGTTAGACAGTTCGCAGTGTCTTCCACTTCAACTTATCCATGTGCAAGTTAATGTCCTGTCAAGAAGTCGCTGCCTCCAAAGTTGTGTCCTTAAACGTCACAAATTGCTTGCTGCGTACACCGGAATGGGAAATGAGGAAGTGGCAATGGGGAATGGGGAATGGGGTGTATGAGTGTGTGTGCTTGTGCGTGTAGTGGTTAGGAGCACTAACAAGCGCTTTATCTAAGCGCTTAGTTTAGAAAGAAACCAAAAGTTTTTTTTGAGTTGCACACAGGCATTTTTCATAAGGTGAGAGAAACTCATTAATTAAACCAAAGTAACGCAACTTTAAACACTTTGTGAGCAGTTCCAGCGTATGTCTCATTCTGTGAATAAATCAACTCAGGTTACTTATGCATGTTTCAATTACACTAACAACTCGTATGATTAGTTTCTGGAGATCTGGGCTAGGTTCAAATAGTTCCGTCAATAGAAGTGAAATGGTGATATAAGATCTACAAGGTATGATTATTTATTTAAGCTTTAACTTCAATAAATCTTTTTATGCTAGTGATTAAAGCAAAACAGTTTACCTTTAGTTTCAATACTTGCATGTATAGCATTTGTATCGATATGTTTATTTAAATGATGTTTTTAAGAGTGAATTTGCATACCTTTCTCAATTGAATGGCAGTTAAACTATTTTCAACTTTCAGCAGAAATGATGATAAGTTTCATTCCTAAACACAGCTCGGTTTCAGCCAGTTGGGAACTTTTCAATCAATTGCATTCTATTGGTATATGTTGTATTTTAACTGTCACATTTGTATTTCTATTTCTATTCAACTTTTGCCACACTAGGATTCTATTTTTTTCTTCAATCCTTGTTTGTCTATTTTTGCTAGTCTTTTATTTCTCAGTTTTATACACAGATCTCGCCGAGTGACACTTTGGCATGTGCGGCCAATTAGTGATGGCAACGACGGCTGCAAACAAATAAAAATCGCTGACGGCCAATTCACGGCAACCACTTCATGGTTGATGCCAGTAACAACAACGGCAACAATATCACATGCAGACTTTGCTGCCACTGCATTTTGTTGCAAGCAATGCACATTTTTATGAGTTTTACCCGCCTGTCTGCCAGCATGACTGACTGACTGTGTCTGTGTTTGAATGGGGAAATAGAGACATGTTGGCTTTTCTGTTTCCGATTTGCAATAGTTACCATGCGCCACAACATACATACATATCCACGTCTATGTGTGTGTTTGTCAGCGTTTGTCTATGTGCAACTTTAGCCATTGTTGCAGAAACATATCCACATACTGGGAGTCAGGCAGGCAGGCCACATATGCTAATACATGAACGCAACCAACCATGTAGTGTTCTCAGTCATTCACCGCCTCCACCTATCTATTTGAACTAATCCCATCGAGTTTTAACCTCCAAACCACTAAAGCTTTAAATGAATAAAAGTAAAGCGAGGCTGTAAATAAATGGGAGCTCTTTGATACTATAAATTTCAGCAACATTTTCACAGTTAAAGTGCCTATCCCATCTCACGTAACTTGTCATATATCCGGAAATATATAAATTATAAAGATGAAGAAATTTTCATTAATTTACCTATCACACATTTCTATCTGAACAGTCATTAAATTAACTTCTTTCCATCGAACTAACTAGAAATTTTGAAAATGGCACACCTTTAGGTTGAACTTTCCTAGTTTTATTTACTTCAAGCACCTAAATTTAGTAAAATTTGCCATACTTTCAGGGACCGATAGGCAAAGAATATCAGCGTGGAAAGAAGCAGGATTGATCGATTCCAGTTGTTGGGTACCATTCTGGTCCACAACGAACACATCAAAGTTGCGTAAATTGATGACCAATCGCTTTTGGATCTCGACCACGCACATTTGTAATATCTCGTAGGCTTCGGCCTGGCTGAGATCCTCCCTCCAGTAGCGCTGGAAGATGCTGCCACAGAACAGGCTGCCCAGGCCGTGGCCGGCATGATTGATGGACATTGAAGCGCCATATGAGTCAATATAATGCAGATCAGATCCCTCAATGGCATCGTAGCCGGCCATGAGCATCGATACCTGATATATTGTATTTGTTCTGATATAATCCGCTAGATTCTTGCGCGTATAATGCGCTGCACCACGTGGACTTAGATGATAGCCATTCGAGATTCTATATAGCTGCAAATGTTTGGCTACATAATCGGTAAACTGCAATGTGTCCCCGCCATCGCCCACAGCGGCCAGCATTGAAAATTCCGATAGGCGATGAATTTTGGATTGATCTGTAAGTGTATTATATGATATACTAGATTACTAGACTCGCATTCGTATTCATTTCACCATCTTTCATAAAAATCACTGATTTTGCCTGCATTGTGTCACATGCAAGCATCACAAAATTTGAACCCTTAATCCCCAAAATCGTTTCCATCGCCTTCGTTATGCAGAATTTTGAAGATTTTCCCCAAGAAAGTTAGGTGTAAGTTACGAATTTTTATTTTATCAATGTGAGTGAAATCATCTCGATAACTCGATATAAATAAGTACATATTGCACTTAGCAGAGTGTAACAATATATTGCATTTGTAAGGTAAGTGACTATAATTTCCATCTTTAGAAACAAGTGAATATAAGTAAGTGATTTTCTATAAGGTAATTTTCTATAAAAAGTGCTGCAACAAAATGTTGGTGGTGGATATAATATAATTATATTTTCCTGGTGCTTTCATGTGCTTTATACGTTAGTCTGTCAATACGGCTACATAAGATCTGTCCTGTGATTTATAAGCAATATTTGTATTAAGTTTGTTGCTTTCAATGATCTCAATCTTCGCTTCGAGTGTCAGCTATCAAAGTACAAAACGAATAGGCTGCCTTACAGTTGGCCAGAAAAGTGGTCAGCGCAATGGGTATAAAATTACCGGCCAGCTGTTTTGGCAGTCTTTGTGTGCGCTCTGCAAATATGATGGCACTCCTGCGATAGGCCAAGCTCTGATCAATCCAATTGCTGCTGTAGACAGCTGTCTGCAAACGTTCAAAATGATAGTCGACCAGGGTGCCATAATAGCAGACTGGAAATATTTGAAGTGCGTGTGCAAGGATGAAGGATATATAGTAAACACGACCATAAACATCATCCACATAAAAGAAGAGAGTGCACAGAGCAGTACCCACATCGATGGAAATCACAACAAATTGTACCAGCAATGGCCACGATATTATGTCCATGGTGAGCTCATGTATCCTTAGAGCAGCAATATATTAATTAGAGCAGATTGATGACACAAAAATATCGAATTTCATTCATTTGTAATGTTTTGATAGTAGCAGTTGCCATCTATGACTTACCTGTAGATCTTCTGCTGATCCTCTATACAATCAATGAGCTTTTGCTCATTGGCACGCTGATCGCACCGATCGTAGCCAATGTGAGAGATGCGTATAAAGAGCAGTTCACACTGGCCGGCAATCAGAATTAGCACCATTGGCGGGAACAAAATCATCCACAAAGTTCTGCATAACTTGCACGGAGATGCACAGAATCTGATGGAGGCAAGCAACGATGTAGTTCGCTAGCGATCCACTCCAGTTCAAGGGAAACCAGGCGGGAAAGGGCAAAGTGCGCTTACCGCGAAACAAAAACGCGACATTCGTACAGAAATTAATAAGAGCATAGATCCATTTGTAGATTGTCGACATAATGCACAATATTCTGTTCACCCCGGAACGACATTTGCGCTGATCATCCGAATTCACCCGTGCATCCAATTCAGCAAGGAGCTGCTCAATTTCCAGGACCTTATGCAGCTGCTTTACATAGATGATAAACTTTGCCGAAGTGGCCAACGATGTGACGGATATGTTGAAGTTCATCAGATTATCCAGCGGCAGCTCAAAACTAAATGCAGCCATGGCAAGCATTATTGGAAATGCAACGGTAGTCAAAACATTTAAAACCACCGCTTTCCAGTTGCGATTACTTCCGTGGTTAATAGCACTCAGCTCCACGGCGCCTAGTAAATGCCATGCCCACCAGTTAATGCCGAAATAGTTGCTCCGATGAGTTGACATAACTGCAACTTTTGCTGAATGTGAATGAGCTGGGAAAACACGGTTTGCGGCTTTTATATCCAGACATCTGCCTAGACGACATTAAACTGAAATTCGCACAATTATCGACATCAAAGGGTTATTTAATTGCAGCCATCCAATCACAGACAAAATGTCTTTTTATTTAATTGTGAAATTTGAGCCATATGGTGTCGTAAGGCAAGTGCAGTCCTTCTGCAACATTTACTAAATTTCACATTTGAATTGTCTATAGTATGCATAATACTAAATCCAACTATTCTCTCTAATTACTTAATCGATACAATTTCTTTTACAATTGCTCAATGATTTCTATGAAAAATGCTCTTTGCTATAGTGTTTCACTTATACTGTTGCAGAGAGGTCTCAGCTTACGGACACCATCTTTATCAACAACAAAGATGTGAAAGCAGTTTTGATTGATGATCAAAGACTTTTGAATCTCTTTGATACACATACGAATTATTTCGTGAGCTTCATCAAAGGGCAGATCTGGCTTCCAAGTCTTCTGCAAGATTCTGTTACATACAGAATATATTGCATTTGTAAGTTAATCTATAATTTCCATCTTTAGAAACAAGTGAATATAAGTTGATTTTCTATAAGTATCTTCCTTAGAAACAAGTGATTTTCTATAAGGTAATTTTCTATAAAAAGTGCTGCAACAAAATGTTGGTGGTGGATATAATATAATTATATTTTCCTGGTGCTTTCATGTGCTTTATACGTTAGTCTGCCAATACGGCTTTGAGTTCTCGGCCAGTAGTACATAAGATCTGTCCTATGATTTATAAGCAATATTTGTATTATGTTTGGTTGCTTTCAAAGATCTCAATCTTCGCTTCGAGTGTCAGCTATCAAAGTACAAAACGAATAGGCTGCCTTACAGTTGGCCAGAAAAGTGGTCAGCGCAATGGGTATAAAATTACCGGCCAGCTGTTTTGGCAGTCTTTGTGTGCGTTCTGCAAATATGATGGCACTCCTGCGATAGGCCAAGCTCTGATCAATCCAATTGCTGCTGTAGACGGCTGTCTGCAAACGTTCAAATTGATAGTCGACCATGGTGCCATAATAGCAGACTGGAAATATTTGAAGTGCGAGTGCAAAGATGAAGGATACATAGTAAACACGACCATACACATCATTCACATAAAAGAAGAGAGTGCACAGAGCAGCACCCACATCGATGGAAATCACAACAAATTGTACCAGCAATGGCCACGATATTATGTCCATGGTGAGCTCATGTATCCTTAGAGCAGCAAAAGATTAATTCGAGTAGATTGATGACACAAAAATATGGAATTTCACTCATTTGTAATGTTTTGATAGTAGCAGGTGCCATCATATGACTTACCTGTAGATCTTCTGCTGATCCTCTATACAATCAATGAGCTTTTGCTCATTGGCACGCTGATCGCACCGATCGTAGCCAATGTGAGAGATGCGTATAAAGAGCAGTTCACACTGGCCGGCAATCAGAATTAGCACCATTGGCGGGAACAAATCATCCACAAAGTTCTGCATAATTTGCACGGAGATGCACAGAATCTGATGGAGGCAAGCAACGATGTAGTTCGCTAGCGATCCACTCCAGTTCAAGGGAAACCAGGCGGGAAAGGGCAAAGTGCGCTGACCGCGAAACAAAAACGTGACATTCGAACTGAGACCAATGAGAGCAAAGATCCATTTGTAGAATGTCGACATAATGCGCAATATTCTGTTCACCCCGGAACGACATTTGCGCTGATCATCCGAATTCACCCGTGCATCCAATTCAGCAAGGCGCTGCTCAATTTCCAGGACCTTATGCAGCTGCTTTACATAGATGATAAACTTTGCCGACGTGGCCAACGATGTGACGGATATGTTGAAGTTCATCAGATTATCCAGCGGCAGCTCAAAACTAAATGCAGCCATGGCAAGCATTATTGGAAATGCAACGGTAGTCAAAACATTTAAAACCACCGCTTTCCAGTTGCGATTACTTCCGTGGTTAATAGCACTCAGCTCCACGGCGCCCAGTAAATGCCATGCCCACCAGTTAATGCCGAAATAGTTGCTCCGATGAGTTGACATAACTGCAACTTTTGCTAAATGTGAATGAGCTGGGAAAACACGGTTTGCGGCTTTTATATCCAGACATCTGCCTAGACGACACTAAACTGAAATTCGCACAATTATCGACATCAAAGGGTTATTTAATTGCAGCCATCCAATCACAGACAAAATGTCTTTTTATTTAATTGTGAAATTTGAGCCATATGGTGTCGTAAGGCAAGTGCAGTCCTTCTGCAACATTTACTAACTTTCACATTTGAATTGTCTATAGTATGCATAATACTAAATCCAACTATTCTCTCTAATTACTTAATCGATACAATTTCTTTTACAATTGCTCAATGATTTCTATGAAAAATGCTCTTTGCTATAGTGTTTCACTTATACTGTTGCAGAGAGGTCTCAGCTTACGGACACCATCTTTATCAACAACAAAGATGTGAAAGCAGTTTTGATTGATGATCAAAGACTTTTGAATCTCTTTGATACACATACGAATTATTTCGTGAGCTTCATCAAAGGGCAGATCTGGCTTCCAAGTCTTCTGCAAGATTCTGTTACATACAGAATAGCCCATTCCATAGACGGCATAGTTGAGGGTTTGTGAAGAGCCCTGGGCATCAATGGAACTCAGAAGTGATCCTGTGTCATTATCGTAGCCGCCCAACAACAGTGCAACCTGATGTTTGACTCTGTTGCGTAGATTGGCAACAACGTTGTTGCAAGAGAAGTGAACAATCGCTGGTGTATTCAGGGGATAACCATTTTGAATATCATAACATTTGATATGGCTTGCTATAAATTTTGAAAACTGCAGAGTGTCGCTCTTGTTGCCAATCACGCCCATCATGCAATACTTTGAAAGGAGTTGTATATTGGAGGGACCTACAAAGGGTGCTTTAGAGCATTACTTTCAACTTGTACTCTGCAGATACGGTGTTTACTTACTATCCTGTATAACGAACGGCATTGCATCGGCAGCGAGTATGACACAGTCACGCCCCTTTATACCAATAACAGTTGCCATTTCCATTGCTTGTTTAAGGGAGTTATATGAATGTATTGTCGCAATGTGAATAACTTGATAGGTTAAACAAAATCTACTACTTGAGAATTGTTTGATTCGATATGATGGATAATCTGAATCAACTGTATATAGTGTCAGTCTTGTGTATATTTGTACATCACGCCAGTCGGAAAATTGCATTCGTTGCCTGTGGACTTGACTTGACGACGAGTGGCTCATTCTGAAAATGCGCTGAATAAGGTGGTTGGGGGAGGTTGTACTTAAAAAGCACTTTCGTTTCACAATCATTTTCAGCTTTTTCGCACTTGAACACGCTTTCAGGCTTTCGGGCTTTGTGGTTTTTTTTTTCGTGATTTGGGCGTTGCATTTTACTGTCTCTATTGTTTGAAATTTTAATATGATGGAAATGCGCTCAATTTTGTATAATTATCGCAACTAAAGGGAAATATATTTTCGCAATTAAAATCATATTTTCTAGCACTCTTCAAATAATAATGATGTTCCATTCACATTCCTCTGTTGTCTTTGCAATCATTATAAAATAATAAACACCGCAATTAAAATCATGACTGTACCCAAGCCATGAATATTACCTCTGATAATACAGCATGCAAATTCATTATACAGAAATATATATTTAAACATAAATAATAGAATAAATAAACGTATTTTTTTCATAACAAACATTGTAAAACCAAAAATTGCTTATTATTTAGTTTGTTTCCTTGGAAGCTTGTATTGTCAGAATTCCATTGAGAGTCATCGTAGCGCTCAGCTCTCTTGCAGCATTTTGTGGCAAAGGAAACTCTCGGTTCACTTTTAAAAATTGACCTTGTTGCATACGATGTGCATTCAGGCTGATGCACTTATCCACCAAGTCCAGTCTGATATTATCTACTGGAAATTCGCTCATGTCAAATTGCCAATAGAAATGAGTTTTATTCTCTGCAAATTGGATTATTTTCTCTTGTTCATCTCTTTGGCTCTTCAATATCTTTAGTTTCCGGCAACATTCATAGACCTCCTGTTCCAGCTGAAGAATTTTTAATTCATGTCTGGAACGCACAGCGTTAAAAAGCGTCGGCATTGTAAAAACTTTGGCGGTGAGATCGCTGATATAAAAATGATAAATTTTACAACACTGATTGACGCAACGATAGCAAAAGCAAATGTAACTCGACGCAGGCAATTGGGCAGCTGAAAATGTTAAAATAATCGAAGGTGCCATTTTTCAACCCACTCAATTAGTGATGTTTTCCATTTTCGTATAACCAATGTTGATCATCCTGCAACTTTGAGTTATATGCATCTGTTTTTAATGTGCTGCAGTGGTTAAAATTGTTCGATACTTTGAATTGATTATCGTGCAATAGTTGCAACTTAAGAAAAAAATCGATTAAATGCGAAATTGATTATATCTAATAAATCGATGTTTTTATTGCAAGAAACGTGTTCGAATTGGGAAAAAATAACAAAGCTTAAGATAACTTACAGCAAGATAGAAAAAACGATATTAACAATGTTTACTCAGTCGATTGACGAAAAGGAAAGTTCTTTTACGGTCCACCAATATCGAATAATCCAGAAAATTGGCGAGGGCACATTTGGAAGTGTGTATAGGGCCGTGAATACAGACGATGGCCAGCTCGTAGCAATTAAATTTGAGAACACGAATGCTAGCAAATCGCTTCTGCAACTGGAGTATAAAGTATACAAATTTCTGGACGCTGGGCATGGTATACCTTGTGTGCACAACTACTACAGCGACACCAAATATAATATACTGGTGATGGAGTTGCTCGGACCGTCGCTTGAGGAGCTGTTCAATTTCTGCTCACGTCGCTTCTCGCTCGACGGTCCTCATGCTGGCCGTGCAGATGATCGATCGGGTTCAGTTTATGCACGAGAAGGGCATTTTGCATCGCGATATAAAACCCGATAACTTTGTGATGGGCAGAGGGATTGTTCAAAATAGGTTGTACATCATTGACTTTGGCCTGACCAAAAAGTACTTCGATGACGAACAGAACGTTCACATACCATTGAGGCAGTACCATCATATAACGGGCACCCCGCGTTATGCATCGGCTAATGCTCTCATGGGATATGAGCTCGGCCGTCGCGATGATATGATTTCTTTGGGCTATGTCCTGATCTACTTTCTGCGTGGCGGTCTGCCCTGGCAGGGGATAACTGGAACCCGTCGACAAAGATCCGAGATTCTGACCGAGAAGAAGCTATCCATTACGCCCGAGGAGCTGTGCAAGGGCTATCCGCATGAGTTTGCCGCGTATCTGTTGCACTGTCAAGTCACCGTGTTCGAGAAGCCGCCCAACTATTTGCACCTTCGTCGCAGTTTCTGCGATCTATTCTCTCGCCTAAAATACATCCATGACGATGTCTACGATTGGCAATTGCTGATTGACTTGAGAAAAGCACACGACAAGGAAGACAAGGATAAGGAAACAAATAAGACTGCATCCAGCAAATAGTCAAAATATCATATGTATGCAATTTTTACTTTGAGTATTTTTTATTTTGTGCGGAATATGTAAACTTTTGTTTAATTCCCAGGCTTCATCTTTATTTTGTGGTGGCAATCCATTTTAACAGCCTGTCAACTGTCCGAGCTGCCAATTTGAAATACACAATTGCAACTTTTCTAAAATGAGTCCAATTAACACAACTCAGATTTGTGCAACGTTTGAATTTTGTATGTGTAAGCGTGTGGGTGTTTCTGTATTTGAGAGTGCATGGATGTGGATGTGAATGTGGATGTGGATGTTCTGGATAAAGCCAGTACTCGAAGCAGCTGTCAGAAATGTCTGTCGGGGCCAACATTGCATTCAGAGCATTCGTAGCAAATGAAAACGTTGTAAATGGCAGCATCCAATTTACGTTTGCAATTAAACTGACACCAAACAGACACTTTTGATTTAGCTTGCAGTTTTCCGATTTTCCCTGCCACCTCCATTGGGACTTGACTGCTGCACAGAACATGACATAATATAAGATCTGCTTAATCCCACTCTAGCCCATAAAACGTCAATTGCATTGTGTTTCTCTCTCGCTTCCTATCTATCTGTGTTCACGCTCTCTCTTTTCTTTTTATCCGATGATATATAAATGTGTGTTTGCCTAGGCGAATATTAATACAGAATTTGGTATAATTGATGAAGTTGGTTGACTTCCTCGACAACTGGCTGGATTGTGCCCCATACGACAACCATACGGCGGCATCTGAAAATGTTGGTATAGTCTGCCATTTTACAAGATTCCAAAATTTTTGTTGAGCAATTTTAATTACAATTTAATTTCAATGGGACTAAAGGTCCAGACGGCATGGCCAACTGAGAAACCGTGTCAAGAATCAAAAACATTCTGTCTTTACCTTATTCCAACTTGGTTCCTTTTGCCGACTTACCACAACAAGTGTGAAAAGAGCAGGAAAAACAATTGCACACTGCATAAAAGCTGTTGTAATGTTGTACTCTGTAGCCACAAAAATCGGATTCGCCTGTTATTGTAATCATAATCTTTCAGTTCTCATTGCTAAACCATAGTTTATTTAAACTGTGTCGAATTTTCTACAATTCTATTTCTTTCGAATTTCATTTAAAAATTTCTCCGAATTTTATTAATTGCTCGAACATAAATTTTAAAACTGAGTACAGGGTATTTCGATGAAAGTACTCTTATTTTACCTTCTTTTCTTCTGATGCACATAATTGCAGGAAGAAAATTACTGACGAGATTTGTGCTTTTGAGAGTCTCACCAGGTGAAAACTTTTAATGAGCAATTTCATTACAAATTTCCAAGTGTTGCCGCATTTAATTTTTTTAATTAAAATTTTGTACATACCATGCTCGTTGGAGGAAGTTCACGTGCAGCAAAAAGACAGGCAACCCTTCAATTACAAGATTTTTCAAACTGACCTCCACGTCGACCTGCTGGCAAATATCAGAAAATACGAGCACACTTTGGCAGGTATTCCCGGCCATCAGTTTGAGCATCAATCAGAGCAAGCGAGGTGTTTTGTGCTTGTGTTTATATTTATCGGGGCTGAGTCCCATGTTAATGGTCAATTGACACGCCACTTGGCTTTGACGGGCGCCTCGCAGAGACCCACTTCGACAGCCAGCCAACAACCTGCAGCGTCAGCCGCAAAAGACGAAATGGTTTTGTGTTTTTTTTTTCTGCTTCACACTTTGCCACGATTAACGTGTATGTGAGTGTGGGTGTGTTTGGGCTGGTCAGCAATGGGTTTGGCTGCCATTCGCACCCTTGCACCCTTTTCGAGCCTGTAATGAGGTGCTAACTGAGCGTGCTGATTGCTGCCATTTTTGATAAGGTGTCCGCATTAATATTTCGCTTGCGTTTAGTTACACAGTTTCTGCCCAGACGAGAACTCCAACAAACGTTTAGCAATTTACCATAGGTGTGCATATAGATAATGAAATCGCCGTCTGCTTTGAAATACGAGTATACTAAATTTACAGCTGATTGGTATGTTAACTCGAGGGGTTTGTCTTACTTCGACTATTGATGAGATCTTACGATTTGTATTTCGAGTTTTAATAAACTTATGTATACAAAATTGTATTATTTTTAACATGACAACGTATTAATAATTTGTTTATTATTATCATGGTAATTTATTTATATTTAATATCGCTGAGCTAAACACTGTTCCAATTTCAAGTAAAATCTCTAATCTCATTATCATAAGTATCTGCCTACTAACCATTTGCAAGTGCTGGATTTTATTTATATTCTTTCCATTTGGCATTTGGATTCAGCTTTTGCTTGCATTTCATACTGACATTAAAATACATTACAGACTTTGCAAATTGAATTGCCTGTCGTCAATAAAACATTGCATTTCCCAGCAGTGCCAGGACCACACCCTATATGCAAGTGTATTGTATATGTATGTATGAGTGTGTATGTATGTGTGTGTGTATGTGTATGCTTTTCTATCACAGTTCATAAAGCATTGGGGACTAGCAGCAAGGCAAAAGAAATGTGCACAAATTGCAGTTATAAATAAATCAAATAAAAATATCTTGTTATTATGGTGGAAGGACACACTTGCTATCGTCTCCTTGCTGTTGTCCTCGATCCTTATTGCAGTGGTTTGCAGCGCAATATTGCGTTCCAAATTGAGTTACATTTAAATATTTCGCCATTTGAAATTGCACGAGCACCACTCCAGACCACTCCACTGTACTCATAGCCTCACTACATTCCTCACCGCATTTCGGACAAGTTGCAGCTTAGTTATGCATGTGTGAGCAACACTCAAATAGTTTACGTTGCCAATGTTTGTATCTTAGTAGTTCGAATCGATTGCTTGGCGATATATGGATAGCAAGCAGCAATAAATGCCGAAAGCCTTTTGGACCCTACTTGATGTCATAAATTAAAATATGTAAATTGCAGTTAGTCTAATTCGGTTTTTCCTTGGCCAAGTGTTTTTTTTTTTCGTTAAGCGCTTGAAGCTTTTTGTTATTTTACTTAAAACTCCGTTGGTTAGCATCTTTCTGAAATATTTAATGCTTTGTAAATACCATAAGTATCTACTTATGAAGTGAATATATCTTAAAAGGATTCTTACTCTTTTTATTTTGCAGGGTCATTGACCAAACTTGGCGCATTAAAATGGACCAGCCAAAAACATCCACTAAAGAGGGCCCTATATCTTAACTCAATCCTGAAGAATCTCAACCGACACACACATCAACTCACAAGTAAAGAAACAGTTTTCAGTTTTCCACAATACAAAGTCAAATAACCGCAAGCGATCGTCCTTTCAGAATTTGATCTATCTGCTGAGATGTCGTCCACACACAATAAAGTATAGAAAACTTTGTATATGCATTCCATTTAACCACTTATAATATAAAATTAAATTAATATTTTCTGAAAATATGCTAATACTAAGTAGATTTTACCTTATATAAATAATAATATTAATTAAATTCGGTACATTTTCTTGATAAAAGAAAAATAAGAAGAACGTATCCAAAATACAATTGTAAATTAAACTTCAAACACTTTGGGTGCAGTATTTTACCAAACACATTTCGAAATGTTCAAAGTTGTATATGAAATCTGTAGCCCAGTTACCCGAATAGATGAAAAATGACTGAATGGTATTCAGGATTACTAGCACCGCTGGAAGTTTCATTAGCAAATGTCTTTCGAAGACAGCAGGAAGTCTGCTGCTTTGTCGAGTGAAAAGCTTACTGGCATCCACTTAATTCAAATAATTTCGATTTCCTTTCGTGCATCGAATGGCAAACAGGGCGTATAATTGATTTCATTTCCGCGCCTGCCACGAAAGCTCAAGCAATAAATTCACAACTGCACAATGCGACCACCGCGGCTGAGAATTTGAAAATTGTGCGATAAGATCAGAATTAAATTTGCATAAAACTGCATTTAGATTGGCCGCAAAACAAGCCACAAGTCCAAACTCAAACCACGCGAAACTTTTCACGGATAGGAAAATGGAAAAAGCGGTTTGCAAATAACTTGCAGAAAATTGTTAGCAGTGCCCAGTGATTAATTATCTACATGAAAGCACGCTATTTACAGCATTACCTGACCTCACGTCAGAATCCCCTCTGCCACTCTGCTGATGGCTATGTTTATGGAGTGTTTAGTTTTGTGCTTCTGATTTTAGCTTGGATAAACCAGTTGTGAAGTTACGTGAAATGCAATTGCTGCTGATTTCCATAGTGCACTTTATCTAAATTAAAATCTAGAGCTTCACCAGCTTCAGCCCCTGGCTCAGTTGCAACTTATTTTTGCCAATATTCTGATACCCCATACGTATTGAAAAGGGTGCAAAGCGCACGAGAACCCATCTGGCCAGTTAAACTTATATGTTTTCAATAGAGTACTTAATAATTTACTTTTCAAAATGAAATATGAAATATTTACAGCTAACGTTTATAAAACATTGGATCTATTTGTAAAATATTTAAATGTTTTGAAGTGTCTTTAATCTTTCAACCAATATTTTTTTTAAATTAATATCATTTAAGTAAAGCACTTAAATCGAACTCCAAATATGTAAATAAGAATAGAAAATAATAAAATTCAATATTCTTGCTCCTCGCATCTGAATGAGTTTGATATCTGATTTGCATAGATGGTTTCAAAATATAGTTTCATCATTCGATTTAAGTATATTTATTTATTTCTTCCTTCTCCACAAGTTTGCTAATAACCGGTTGTTAGATTTGGCGTACAGGTTATTATCAAGAAAGCGTTCTGAATAAATTTTTGTTAAATTAACAAGAAATCATCGACGGCTGATGATTACTGGTCCTGGCCATGAAGTGTAGTTGCGGCTTCATCCTCTGGCTGCATTGCTCATGAAATGTTGACCCGAAGTGACTTTTCTTAGCGACACGAGATGATGTCACTGTCAGCTGGCAAAGTAAAAGTATCGCAAAGTATGCTCCATGCCCTCTCTCCCCCACCCCTGTCCCTATCCACAATCTGCCTGCCTGCCTGACTGACTGACTGACTCCTGTGGCAAGGACAACGCGACCAACGCTGCCACGTCTTCTGCAGGTAAATTGCGTGTATGGGTGTTTGTGTGTGTGTATTTCAATTTAGCCAGCGAATAAATTGCCAGCAATAAAGTAGAAAAAAGTGTAATTTGTTTGGCTCGTTTGTTCTGTGTGTCATATCTGTTAGAATGTATCTGGAGCCCAGCAAACCCGTCACCCCTCTCCCGTTACTCCTACAGCACCAACTAAGCTGTGTGCGGTGTCTTTGTGTCTGCAACTGAGCGATGAGATTCTTATTTTAATTTTGATTATGTGCCTTTGCCGCCTCTGTCGGAAATGAACGCATTCTCAGCGGATTTCTGTCTGCCAGTTACATTTACAAATTGCTCAACGCATTACCCAAGTTCACCTAACACCTACCGTCCTCTCTCTCTCTCTCTCTCTGTATCTATCTCTCTCTCTATTTTTTCAGATAAATTGAGTTGTATGCCGCTTACACACACACACATACACTCACACACAAACATACACTAAACGAAACGCATTTCCCGAAGTTTTTGCTGGCGTTGGCCCACACACAAATAAATGGCCACTTAGCCCAATACAAATGCAACGTGATGCTGTTAAGTCGATGCTTTTAGCATTTGATTGACACGTGAATACACCAGCAACAACAAAATGAAATACTTGAAATTGCTGGCCACTTAGCAACGCATAAATACCCAGCATCTAAAAGAAGTTAATGGGGGCAGCACCCACAATAATTGTGAATAGTTGCGAGTGCCATGCGAAACGGCAGACTTGCCCATTCAACCCGACCTCCCTGGGTTTGACAGATTTGGGATTTAATTAATGAAACATTCAGACATAATCCTATTGTTTTCTACTCTCTAATAATACAACGAAGTGTATCAGTAATATTAACTGATCTACTGAAATACACTTATAACAATATTTTCTAAACTTTGCAACCCTAGCTTAATTTGATAACTTAAAACTCACAAAGCTTTTCTTATTCTAATCTTGTTCAAAATGATCGCTTTGCCAAAATAATGAATAAATCACTAAACATGCGCTTATGCAGTCATTTCCAGTTCATGAATACTGTGAATCGCCGTGTCAGACAACATATTGCTCTCCAGAATATAAGCACCTACTCAAAAAACATAAAATATACTCAAACACACACACACACACCCAAAACAAGAGCATTAAAAACAGCATATGTAAGGGGGGTGGGTGAAAGGAGCGCTCGTTTGAACGGTCATTTCCTGGATAGAAAGGTTCGAGGTTAACATCTTAAGGGCCAAAATGGGAAGCAGTTAGCATAATGTCGGCACTGCTGGCAACTTTACAATGCCAATGGCCAACTTGTGGGCCATTAACCAAAAAATGTGAAAACAAGTCCAAGACATGCGAAACGCTTATTAAAACGATACTTTAGTCTCCGTGTGCTCAGTGCGCAGGATATGCGACATATCCTGCGGTACAGAAGCATAGGTAATTTAGATTGTGACTGCCTGTATGGCTGCCAGACCCTGATGAGACCCTTATGAAGACCCCGAGTTGACATGCAGGTTAAATAGATTAAGGATATCGCTTACCACTAAGTGTTGTTGGCGTTGTTTGGGGGCGCAGTGCACCTGCGGCCAAGAAAAGGCCAACTAAGCGAAACTGAAAGTAATTGCCAAATATTGAGACAAGAACAACTCAACACACACACACCCACACACACACATAGAACAACACTCAACACGTATAGCTAAACGTGGCCAAGAAGTTCCTTTTACCAGCAGTAAATTGAATTATTAATGGTGTTGTCATTGGCATTGGATTCGCCTCGTTGAAAGTTGGCCGCGACTTTAGCTTGCCTGCTTGCCTGTCTGCTCGTTAAGCACCAACCAACCCCTCATCCCCATTACCCCCAAAACCCCCAAAAATATAAACTTGTTTGTCCAGCAATACAATTAAGTTGTCAGTCATCGCCACAACTGCCCCCAAAATTGTATCCCAACAAACATGAGAAGCTGACTTTCGACTTTGCCCGTAAGTATTTATAATGTTGTTGCTTGGGCGTGCCTGTTGAAGTTGCCCTCTACTCCCAATTTGGTTTTGCGGTGATGAGTTATGGCAAAGTAGTAGGGATGTGATTTCTGACGGCTAAATATAAATGAGAAGCAACTAGACAATTTACCGGAAAATTATGTATTTATAGCGGCAGTTAGGGGTAGCTGATATACTGTATTAGTATTAATAGGAAAACATACAAAGTGCATTAGGATGAAGATGTTTGATCTTCAGGCAACAACTGAAATTAATATCGACTGGTAGGCATTTGGATTTGACTTAATGATTGGCATAGGCATATTTATACTTGTTTGAAATTTCGCTCTGAGAATGATTGTTGCGCTATTATTGATCTTAAGTTGATAAAAATCAACTTAAAAATGTCATTCAGAGCATAATAATCAAGGTATTAACAAACAGATATATTTCTATTGTCCTTGGAATTACATTGGCCTGCTTTTGTTTCGCCTTAAAATGCGTGCAGTGTTTAACTTCCATTCATTTAAGCAAATTAAACAGCTTTACGTAATCGAATTCGATGGCAGCTGGCGTTGTCGCCATTTCTTTAATTAATAAATTCAATATTTATGTTCGTCAAATGTGATAAATAAATTGCCACTGCTGTCAGATACGATATGGTTGGTTATTGGTTCGTTGGCTGAGTCTATAAAGTCCATTTGAATGCCGCTCCCAGATGGGCGAACTTTGGGCCATGTGTTTTGGTTGTCTTCTTGCGGCCAATGGCCATCGATTGGCATTTTTATGTCGCCTGACACTTAACTTTATTAATTTTTTGCTGTACTGCGTCTAAGTTTTGGTCACTTTTGTCTCTGATCGTCGCTGCTGTCTTTGGCAAATGACGTGACATCACATTTTTTATTTGGCGCTGGCTTCTGTTAGTGTGTTTGCTCCATGTTTTATTAGCTCATTTGTCGCTGGTCTACATAAAATAGAAATTTAATAACGCAACAAGGGAATCCAATTAGCATGTAGTTTGCCAGCTCTGGCGTTCCAGGCGTCTGTCTGCTCGTCTTTAAAGTTCAAATTGTATGCATAAATTCATCGAGTTTATATAGCCATTGGGGTTATTTGTGTGTGTTGTCGT